TCCGATCGTTATCACATAATGAACTAAAGACAGGGAAGAAGATATAATCCAGATGGAGAAGTATATTTACTGACAATTTCATGGTATCGAACGAATGTCGAAGTCGTTCCACAGAATGTGGGCGAATGTACTACGAGCAATATAAACAAGCTGATTATCAAGCAAGCGTGAAGTGTGTGTACAGAAGTACAAACAAACAAGAAGTTCAGCAAAGAAACAACAGGTAGAACTGGCTATAATTATGAATGTTTCTACTCAACTGATCGTTCTACTCTTAAAAGTAGAGTCACTACAGCATCTATGGGTAAGAATTTGGAAATAGTGGAGAAACTAATGTTTTGAAATCATCTGCATATTCATTTAGCCTCACCAACTCCGAGTTTTGTTTGCCAGATTACCCAAATTCCAATGTAATGCCATTCCTAGTGATTGCTCCCAGTTTGCTTACTGAGTCACGAGCTCATTTCTGATCAATCCTTTCCTCACCTTAGCATCCCTAACTACTCCTCCAGTACATTATATATATCCTTCCTAGAAGCAATACGTACCAAATACCTAACGTAGCATGAATTAATCTTCTCCAGATTCAAGCTCTCTGACTATTTCCTGCGAAAATCTTATTCATTGCCCTTTTCCAATGGTCATTTCGTGAATGTGTTCGCTATTCTGTGTCCAAAGAAACTGTGAACTCTTTATTTGGGTTTTTGTTATGAGTAGTACGATCGGGTAATATTCATTTTAAATTGTGCGTTCAATAATATACATAGAGAGTGTTAAAGGTTAATTATGGTAAAGGATTTTCAGCCATTTAAGTTAATTGAGTCAAATAAGCATTGCTTGAAGGCCGGATAATGTTGTTTTCATGGTAAACCTATGATGAACTACTACTACTATTATATGAGCCAAAAGTGTTTGAAATACACAAGTATAAACAAAACAAATTCTCAACAAAAAACTGAAAAACGTCGATTCCAAGATGCATATGATCACAATTGATAAGTGAGATGACACTACTGAAATTACTTTTCTGCAGTGCCATAGCTGTGGCATAAGCTAAAAGTCATTCCCTGTTTAGAACTACCTCTCTTTTATTGGCACGATCTGGGACGGCTCACGTGTTGGAAGGCATTCAATATCTGAATACATCGAGAGGGCTCACTTGATTGAAGCTGTCTTGTCTTTCCAGTATTTTGAGGTTCATAAGTGCTGGTCATCTCAAAAATGTATTGTCTAAGATACGGCAGACTAATAAAACGTTTCCGTTGTATTTTGATGTTTTCTACCCTCGGTAAGTAGTAATAATGCACAGTGTAGCTGGATATGGTTCCTAACAACGTGGACATTATTTTTCAGACTTCAGTGAGTTTTTAAAGGTTATATGTTAGGCGAGAGTTCCTAAATAGCTTAAAAGATTGTGTGCACCAAACATATCCAAAGTGCAGATAACTTGTACTCATCACATTCATTTACGGAGTAAGGGAAATTCTAGTGATTGTTAGAAGTGCGTTTTTTATCATTTTAGATATGCTTTGGAGTTGAAAGAAGGCCTTATGGTGTCAGACTCGTTACCAAACCGTGAGAATATTTACTTACGTGCGACCAAGTAGGTCTAAGTGCTTTGATTTCTAGTCCATGTTTAGAGTTGATTGATACCGTAGTGAGTACACAATAAAACATTTTGAAAATTTCCAAACCTGCATGTTATACAAACTTGTGACCTGAGATCCGTAAAGTAAAATAACGTCTCTCCAGCAGAAGAAATTAGCTCCGACACTGTGAAAAAACATCAAAATTATGAAAACGTTAAAAGGTAAACAATGTGGACTTTGAGTCCATTTGAGGAGACAACGTTTTACAAATGAGTGCTACAATTATAAGGAATTTCAGGTCACTAGTTTGTTATGTGCTTGAAAATAGCAGAAGATGGCGATGGGGGCCATGTGTAAATGATCCTGACCAAAATGTGTTTCATTTTCCTAGAGTAATGCGGACTATTATCTCCCTCTTGGACAAGCTGTGCCTGATTCATATCTTGAGACCTGCTAGTTGTTACCATTGCCATCTCCTCAGATCATTCAATTAATCTATCTCGCCTATTCCTCTCCCTTGCTTACATTTCGCTCCTCTCTCACAATCTTCACTACCAATTAATAAACTAAATTCATCTATATATTACTCAGTTCTGAAATTTTAGTCATATTACCATTTTAATTTATCCTTATTACCCTTATTACTCTCCACATTGCAACTAACTGATCTCCGGTTTGGTAATGTGACGGCTGCTATTATCCAGAAACCCTACTGCCCTGAAACAAACGTTTCATTCAAATCCCGAGACATACAAACTCACAACCAACTGCTAACTGACTAGAATTAGACAGTCGAGTGGCTAGACCTCCATCCATTGGACATTACCGAACACCTGGAACCGTACCGAAAGAACAAGAATCGAGCGCGAAGAAATCAAATTGGTTTACACTAGCTCGTGAAAAAGATATTGGATACTGAATGCAAGATCTTCTACCCCATATGCAACATGTTTGAGTGAACAGTAGGAAACTTTTCCAAGTACTTGGAATTTGTCGTTATTCCGAGGATCAGACGAACAAAGTTATTTTATTCGGCATACAAGTTAAAAGTTTCGCAACTGAAATTGATACAGGTTAACTCTAACGTACGTTTTCGAACACGTGTTATGGGACTCTCAAAATCGAAACTCCGCCTCTGATAGCCTTGTTATTCTAACTAGGGGAGTGGTAGTTTGATGTACAAAAAGTCCAAATAAACAGTTCTGTTACAAAAATTAAAATTTTGATGTGTACATTTCCCTCAACGCTTAATTTGAGCTACTCCAACAAAAAACGGCAACACATCGAAAACCATAGAAGAAACTGAGGGCGAATTTTAAGGCATGCACTAAACTGTACACTATGAGCTTCAAGTCATTCGTCATGAAAATTACTGCCCTACTTACTTACGCAGGTTACCCCTAGTGGAACATAGGCCACTAACCAGCATTCTACAAACGGCTCTGTCCTGAACTTTCTTTCCTAGATCTGTCCAATTGCTGTCCATTATTCTCATGTCAGTCTCCATTTCTCAACATTATGAGTTCCTCAGCTTCCTCTTTTCCTTTGGCCTTGAAGACTCCAGGTGAAAGCTTATCTTGTGACCTATACACATCAAGCACTCCTTCCTGATTTCTCCCTCAACTAGAATCTCATTTGTTCTTTTCCTCAGTAGGTTGTTGCTGATGGTGTCTGGTCAATGGATCCAGAGTACTTCGCGTAGATAACTGTTAATAAATACATGCATCTTCTGGATGATTGTTTTGGTAGTTCTCCTAGTTTCTGCCCCATACAGTAGAACTGTCTTGGCATCAGTGTTGAAAATTCTGACTTTGGTGTTGGATGGGTTCGATTTCAATTGTAGAAATGCTTTCGCCAATCCAAGTCCTAACACCTATATCAGATCCACTTTGCTCATCAGTGATGCAGCGTAGATCGGCTAATTAAGGTTTCCACATTCTCCAAAGCTATTTCGTCAAATGTGATTTGATTTGTGCATGTGGTGTTGTATCGAATGGCCCTGCATTTTCCTTGTGTATGTTGGTTCGTACAGCTACTGAGGCCACTGACACACCGGTCACCTTCATCTAAGTTTTCTGTTGCGTGTGGAGTAGAACAGTCGGACTATCGTCGAAGTCCAAGTCGTCCATCTGCATCCCAGCTGTCCACTGAATCCCCTTAATACATCTCAGGTGCTGACGCCTTCATAATCCATACCACCAGCAGCAGAACGAGAAGGGTTAAAAGTCAGTAGCCTCGCCTGACTTTAGTCTTCCCTTGGAACGAATCGTTGAACTATTTTCCATGCATGATCTTGAAGTTTAGTCCACCATGCAAATTCCGTATGGTGTTGACTATCTTTTCAGATACACTATAGTGTTGAAGAAGCCTCCGTAGTGTCGTCATGTTCATGCTGTCGAATGCTTTCTTGTAATCAGTGGGAACTCTGCTTACAGTCCTTCTAGTGTTACTGCCATATTCAAGCTCACCTGAAGGAGAAGGGTTAGGCGACCCCGTCCATAAGAAAACCAAACCGTTAGAAAATCTCTATTCGGAATAAACACCATGAAAGTGTTATGTGTAAATACGTCTGTGCAGTTTGGAGAGATGGGTGACAATTTTTTAAAGGTTCAGTTGTTCCCGAACGAGATTCATTGAAAGTTTTGAGCATAGAGTCTATATTGGCTCAAAAATCTACCGATGAGACCATGGAGGTTCAGTCGATCCAGAGACAATCTCCATGACTCGATCTAACTATAACACTCTCAACAAGGCACTAAAAAAATCCAAGTTCACTCTTGACCCAAATCATGGAGGAAATACCTGGGAACTAAAAGTAAATCAACAAATTAAACCAGAGACATGTTTTGTTACACGTGATCTAGTCCTGTAATACAAAGCCATCTGGACGAGAGCAGAAAAGTTCCCTGAAATCTCTAAAGAAAAAACCTTACATTCTTACAGATTTGAAAATTAGTAAAAGAAATTCACCAATGCTTGTAAGACTTCTGTTCGTTAAATATTCATAGGTGCTCACTAGAAGTCATCATTAATTCAACATTAGTAGAAATTTGGCGTGAAGAAGCCACAGACATTCACTGTTTGGCAACACTCAGTTAAACAAATACTCAAGAATAAAGGGAATCGAAAGCAAATTTGTAAGATGAATGATATTTCGGGAAGCTAGTAACCTAAGCTGCTTACTTGAATCGAGGGTATGCAAATGAGTGACTCCCTGCCCTGGGCGAGAGTGTGTCCGGAAAAACTAATGAATTCGGCATCGATACCAAGGACTAACAAAACTTTTTAGCTTCAGGATTTGTTTACCTTTTAATTGAAATATTGAACGATCGAAGACGTGGTACCTAACTATTTGTTGAAGGACCAGAATTTTCATTGTTTGCTCTTTTTTGATATAAATTGGCTTAAAGATACTGTTATTCGCCATCTAGGGTTATCAGTGAAGAGATTTCATTAGTTGGTTGCTTACTGTATTGTATCGACAACCACTCTAAAGATTTGTTCATTCTGACTGATTGGACAAAGAATCTACCAAATTGGATCTCAGGGTCGAAATGAGTGAAAGGTTGCCTGATGTGTTTGCGCAAGTGTTGGTGAAGTACTCTGAAGTTTCAGACTACAGTGGGTCTTATGCCGAGCCAAAATTCAAGGTTTCACTTAATTTCTTAGCTTTATTGTCAGGATCTGCTCAGTGCTGCTTGTCAACTCTGTGAAAAAGCAATGGAGATGGTAAATGAACTTCGTTTGTTCGGCAAGAATGAAAGCCTAGACGATTTAAGCTCGACCGAAATAAGGTGATAATCATATTCGTTGGAAATTATTTGACTCAGATACTTATGTCTTCCAGCATTTCTTGGGTATTTCAACTCTCAGAAAAATGAAGACCGATTATCTGTTATTCGCTTGGCTTTGGTATGATATGTTTATCCTGATTAGCTTGTGCTAGTCCCTGTACAAGGACTTTTTCAAACTCTGCACAGATTATGGTATACCACTTCCAGAAGGAGTATCTTCAGAAAAGTACGCGTTCTGTTTCTAAATAATCAAAAAATAATTATTCAAGTAATATTTACGGTATTTCTTTTATTTTTTTTGTTGAACTGTTACTAATGCCAGTTCATTTAGTTTCGTATTTAGCTACTAGTCAAGGTTGATGGTATTCGAGCACATGTAATATGCCTCAGCGATCTCATTCGGTGGGGAGTCACTATCCATTGATTTGTTATCTTTACCTAGTACCCTACTCTTAACCCATCTATTGCTTAGTCCACTCTTCCAGAATACACAAGCAGTGCTTATACGACATCTAGTATTCAATCGTGGGTGTTCTCAAAACAATGTTTGTGTATTCTGGGACAGTTGAGTATACAATATCTAGTTTAAGAATTGGATACTAAGTAAAGAAAACAAATCGTTTGCTGAGATAGTGACTCTATCAACCAAGGTGTTTGGGACATGTTTTACGTATGATCAGCCACCACCTACCTCGATTGATGATGTTAATTGGGGCAGAAGTAGACTAGGAAAAAGCTGGGCGCAGTCGATACAAAAGATGGCACTAGTTCATCTAGTTATCAACAACTACATAAAGCCATATTGATAGGTGTAAACTACCTGATTGAAGTTCGCATAATGATCGTAACCAGTGGTTAAAGACTTTAAATGGCACAGCTCAAAATCGTTCACAATGTAACAAGTGCATCTATTCTTACCATCACCCAAATTCTCAACGTAATCCCTCTTTTTTCTTATATCATTGATTTATATTTTATTGAACTTTACTTTTGATTCTTAATCTTTTCTAACACTACTGATACTACTAATATCGCTATTCTAGGATTTGGCCTGACCACTTATGTATGTACTAGGTTCTATGTTTCCACTGTCTAACTTGCTACCTACTTGGTAGGCCTTATAATCTACTGATAACCAGAAAAACTTATAGCATTTATTTGAGCGTTGCTATAAACCATAATAAAACGACAACTTTCCTGATTTCCGTCCTCTTAAAAGATACCGACATTTACTTTTGTAGGCAGTTTAAGTAGTAGTCATATTGAAGGGTATATTACCTACAAATAAAATACCTACGCTAACATTCACTTAGTCATGTATAATAGATTATTTTTTTATATTTATTACTCAGAAACAATCAAAGTTCCAATCATTTGTCAATGTCAGATCTTGCGCACAATCGTGAAGTCAAAATCAAACGTTACAAATCAAAGAAAGCACTAGAAGAACGCTTGGAAAAACTTGCCGCGTATGTGGATCAGCCTCATGTTGATGAAGAAACCAAGGTATACAATTTTTATTCATTGATAAATACTACTGACTGATTTTTTTCCTCCAGTTGTATCTGCCAAATTAATTCTTAAAAATTGCTAGAGACTGGAAAATGTCCCTAAAAGAATCATTAACTTGAGCCAAGGCGAACACCACAATTATAGCGTAGACACTACTAATTGTGTGTACAATTATGCGAAAGATTACAATATTATTTATACAACGGAGCACCACACAAGGCAATGAATTGTGTTTGAGCTGGGATACTTCTTGGGTGTCAAAACTGTAACAGGTGGTTTTCTTAAGGTGCCACTCATCGAGTCTTTGACTTGAATATTTTAACCTACAAGGCAGTGGAACAATGTTAGGAAGTGCAGCCCTATGCTAATCGGTTAAAAACACTCGGTTTGTATGCTATTCGTAACATAAGAATCCTGTAGCCGATGTGCACTATTGGTCCGAAGTTGGGATTTTCCAACTCCCCCCTAAGTAGATCCTCCTTATCCATCTACACGGTTAACGTGCCGAGTATTCTCTTTTCGTCATTTCAATTACGCAAAATACACCCTCGCCATGAAAATACTGTAAGACTTTCCATGCTGTAACTGTATGCACCTGACTATATGGGAACATATCGAAAAGGAGAGCGGGATTTCCCCACTTTCGATTGTACCAGAGCACTTTGATTGTACTGAAAATATTCTGCTGTTTCCTTTTTACTATATGAACATGTTAATTTATTTCAGTTGCTTATTTAATTACTCTGACGAAATGACTTACAGTAATACAGGAAACATCAGAAATATAAATTTCTACTCAATGAGCTATAATCAAAATATAATTATTTCATTATTATTAACTTTCTATCCCAATGCTCAATTTATTTGAAAAGATAATAAAGTCCGATGTTGATATTGGTATATATTGGATCCTTATTAAAATGTAGCTGATAGATCAACATACTTATGTATTTTCTCTAATGACGTAATCGATATAAATTGTTGGACTGATAGTTATACACCTTGATTTTTACTACTAAAGCATGGTTAGCGACCCTGAGTGACATGGCTCAAAACCGTTTGCAATAGCGCAAGTGCATTTACTCTTTGTGTTCTATGAAATTCTAACCTTCTGAATCCCTTAACACCTCTATCTTTCTCTTTCTAAATTTCCCTCACTGAATTATACTTCTTGAATAACATCTTCGAACCCTGATCTTTCCAATTACTGCTAATACTTTTACTACCTCTACTACTATGGGATTTGAATTGACAATTATATCTCTGTGGTAATGTGATATGGCAACTTGAACTGATGTACTTACGTGCAAAGTTCTACGTTGCTGTTGATGATGATAATGATGATGACCAAAGCATATTTGCAACTTAGATAATCATGATTTGAAAATCTGTATCAGTCACTATAATGTGTTTATTGCTTTTCTGTCATGAAACATTCGTTCATATTAAACAAATATAAGATTACCACCTGTACTTTGACGTCTTATCTCCTGACTACTGTTTGTCTACTGGATCATCGTTACTGTTCATATGATATATAGAAATGATACCTATTGGATTTCATGTTATTGCTCTATTTCGTATCATAATGGTCATCCTCATTAACTTAATCCATCATTAAAAAAAATATGCTTATCAAAACGAAATAGTTCATTTGTAGATCATTTTTCTGCCTTCAGATGGTTTCATTTCCAATCAAAAGGTTAATATTATGGATTTTCTTTTTGAACTAATCAAATTTTGTAGCATTGTTATAAGGTACAACAGTTTTAGTCTCAATAAGATCTTTAATTGACTGTCAAAGTTGTACAGAGTTTTTTCTCTAAATTTTGTATATTCAGCAATACCGTCAAAATAGGACATCGCCATTGAAGTTAAACACACAGATATTAGCTAATAAGTGGGGATAACATTTATGGTCATATAATCTCTAAGATTTAAGCAGATAATAAATGATTGGTTATCCGTTTATGTTTAATTTCATTGGAACTGAAATTCAATCATCCACAATGATCAAGGCATACAAACTCTGAAGAGAGAATATGTTAAAAACAATTTTTCGGTATTTTTGTTCAACATTTTTGATCTGTAGAAAAGTCAACGAATATAATTTCACTTGTTTTTTTTCTACACTTACTTTGTAGCGTGAGTTTAATTTAACTCTTGTTCAAAGGTGGCTTTGTGTTGCGCAAGATGATATAATCAGTCTACAAAATGAATTGGATATTCTATCGAAAGGGAATTCCGCAGACAAAAACGATATAGATGTGGTCAAATCAGAACCTTTACGACCATTTATCTTAACTCGAACAGCTGTACAAGCTGCTGTTTTTGGTGCTGGCTATCCAAGCCTTCCAACAATGACTATTGAGCAGTTTTATGATCAACAGGTTAGCTATTCTATTATTGTATTTCATTGCTATCACATTGTAATTGAAAATGGAGTAATGGATTAGCAGTCATAGTACTCGATTGTCAGCTAAGTTCAATTCAATTACTTAGCCTATTATGGTGTTCGTGATCAAATAACGCTATGATTCATAAGATACTGTTGCTTTAAATTAATTACACAAACCTGTACTTAAAATCAGTTAGGGTCAGTGAACACTGAAGTTGACAAGTAAAAAAGACAGTTTATCCTGAGTGCATTCTTAGATTATCGTTGTTTACATAAAAGTTAGTTAAATTTAGGTGCATTACAATTTCGTAAAGTGTGTTATCTTTCAATTCAGTGATAGGAATGGCGCTTTCTTTCTTTCCCCAGTCTAACTCCTAACACAAGCTTGTTACCTCGATGAGCAATCCTTCTTAGTCCAGAAGTAGATTAGAAGAAAGCTAAGGATAACCAAGCCAAAATGTGACATCAGTTCATAGTGTAAAACTGCCTGATGGTCTGAGTACACTCTCTGATTAAAGAGGCTAGATGACATGACTTGAAATCAATCATGGTGGTACAGAGATACATTCACTATCTATCTGCCTCTCAATCTTATACTCAAGTATGTCTTTTCACCATTTTAAATTATATTCCCAACGTTCTTTTTTTGAGTGCTACTAAATTATTTCGATCTGTTTAGTTACTTCCGTTTCATCGTGCTAAACTGTTATGTCAACTAAGACCAACGTACATGTGCTAGGCTCTTTGTTATTAAACAACAATAGGTGCTCTATTTGTTATCTAAGGGGTATTGATACAGTACAGTTGTCCAAACATAAGTAGGTGTTGTCAACTTCATCCTAATAAACAATGTTCAAACCACAAACCTATCTCTTCAATAATATCTTCTCGATAGTTTTTTTTAAATTTGATTCAACCATTTTTTCTAGAATATTAAAATGCGATCACTAATAAACATTTTTAATAATGTAATATTTCCCATTGTTCTCTTTGTACAGGTTGCAGCTGGTTTATTGCCTCCACCAAAACCGATTACTGTTCAAACTGGTTCAGGGCCGAATTTCCGACGAATCGATCCATCCGCAGAGGAACGTGAAGCTGAGGAAAAGAAAAAAGCTAATCAAGATGCATTAGAAGATGCTGATGATCCAGATATGTTAGCTAAAGCTCGATCATTTGATAATTTCAAAGATGAACATCGTAGAGGTAGTGGGAATAGAATGAATAGAGCTTAGAACATCTTTGAACTGAATATATATATATATATATATATATATATATATATATATATATATATATATATCATGTATAAATACGAAATACAAAACTTATGAATTAAACTTTTTCGTTTTCCTTTAGTTTTATATTGAATGATACTGATTATTTTGTATATGACATGGTTCAAAATCGTTCGCAATGGCGCCGGTGCATTTATTCTCTGTGTTCTGTCAAATCCTAATCTTCTGAATTCTTCAACACTTCTAGTTTTGACTTTCTAAACTTTTCTCACTGAATCATACTTGTTGAATAATATGTTATAATCCTAACCTCTCTGATTACTTCTAATACCTTTACTACCTCTTCTACTATTGGATTTGAATTGGCAATTACATCTTTGTGCTAACGTTCTGGTATGGCAACATGAACTGATGTACTTACGTACGAAGTTCTACGTTGCATCTGACTGACTATTTTGTATTGTATTACATAATAATATGCATTGCTCTTAATTGTAAATCAGTTAGTCAGCTACAATGTAGAACTTGGTACCTACGTACATCAATGTTCAATTCGCCATATCACTCACTGTAGTACAGACAGATGGAATTGTCAATTCCAATCCCTTAGTAGTTGACGTAGTAGAACTAATAGCGGTAACTCTGAATAAGTTAATGAAATCGAAATTCCTATCTGTTCATTTGAGTTTCATACGTCAGTACAAATTTTTCTAATTAAATGTCGATAAATAACCATAATTTTTGTAATGAGAAATTAAATGATACGACTGACAATCAATTATATTCATGACTTATCTCATTGTAATTTTTTATGATTTCTCATCGTTCGTTTTAGGCTTTCATCTATTTTTCGTGTTGGTTCTCCTTATTCAAAATTTTCATTACTCCTGTTAGTACTAGTTCTACTTTTACTCTTTTCTTTTAGTTGTGTCAACGTGTACTACAACACATATGTATACCATGGTTAGCGTCATTTATAGTACTAAGTTATGATAAATCGAAAAATTTTGTTGAAATCCATTCTTTGTGTTCCTTCTAACTCTAATCGAAACTCGACGAGCTTTGTTTTGTAGTTCAGGAGTAGGTTGGAAGCAAGCTAGGGGCGGCCAAACCAAAATATGGCAGAAATCCATGAAGTCATTAACGAGTGGACTTAGCCATGTCGGCAGTTGTCGACTACCTGGTTGGGGTCCGCGAGATGATAATAATCGATGGTTAGAGACCCTGAATGACATGACTCCGAATCGTTTGCAATGGCGCCGGTGCATTTATTCTTTGTGTTCTCTCAAATCCTAATCTTCTGGATTCTTCAACACCTCTAGTTTTGACTTTCTAAACTTTTCTCACTGAATCATACTTCTTGAATAATATCTAATTCTAACCTCCCCGATTACTTCTAATACCTTTACTACCTCTTCTACTATTGGATTTGAATTGACAATTACATCTCTGTGCTGATGTGGTATGGCGACATGAACTGATGTACTTACTTACGAAGTTCTACGTTGCATCTGACTGACTGACTAATCGAAACTCCTCATGACCTTCATCTTCCTTGTCTCAAATCTGTTCCACTGGATTATACTTCTTGAATAATATTTTCGAAGCGTGGTATTTCCAAATACCGGTCAAACGTTTACTATCTCTATCGCTACGGGATCTGAATCGACAATTGCATCTCTGTGTACTAATGTGGTATGGCAACTTGAACTGATTTACTTACGTACGAAGTCCTACGTTGTAACTGGCTGACTTGTTGAAATCATGATTATAGTCGATGAGATTCCGACATATATCGCCGATTCATAAACTCATTGAAACAAGGTGTCTTTTGTTTGTCTTTCAGATATCATAAGGCGTATTAACAATTTCAAAAATAAAAATGTCGAAAAAATCTAAAATTCAATTTATTCAGAATGAAGAACCCTCGTTTATACGACAATTTAAAGAACGTGCAGGTATTCCGACAGCTCCAACTATCGATTCAAAAGTGAGTTCTATTATTGAACTAGATAATGTTTGCTGTTTGACACCAAGATTACTAATGACATGAGAGGTGTACAAACACTTTCATAGTGGCAGTTCTTTGCATTAGTTGAAGTTTCTGAATTATAGATGCCTCAGAAAAGTGTAATGCATCTATAATTGCATTCCTGAGGCTTGGTGCGTGACTACTTGTGTGATTTACGGCGTAGGCGAGATATCCGTTTACTAACCAAAGGACGAGTCTACTGTGCATCAGTCATCTCCATCCTAGGTTCGAAACATCACCAGTAAGAGTAGTGGATATTCGTAGATTACTGGTTTCCGATCACAGGTATCTTCAAAGCATTGCTCGTAAATCCTGGGACAATCGAGCAGGCAATGCTGGTGTTAGGAAAAGACTACTCGGTGAGGATTTCAGATCAAATGGAGAAGTGTCGAATCTTTATCAGTTGAAGTGGTTGGGACATGTGTTACAAATGCCCAACCACCAACTGTTTCGACGATTGGCTAACATCCTACCCAATCAGCGCCTGATCAATTCTTGGAGAACATGGTAGAAAATTCTCGTGTTGTTACCTACACGCTGATTGGCTAAATCTAATCCAGTCGATCACGTGAATTACTATGCAGAAGCTTCTCATGTAAATACTATAAAGAAACTAACGTTGTATCTATTTTGCCTTCGCCTTCGGCTTCTTATTTCCATTTAACCTTGCTATTTGGAATATAATCTTTTCATGTTCCACCGTGTTTCTGATTCTTTAGAACTTGTCCAGTGTATTGTGGTCAGAGAATACTAAGCAATAGGAATTAGCTGGGAATTATTTAAGCAAGCGTTACAACAGTTTTACTAGATTATATTTCTTGAATAATAACCTCGGATCGTGATATTTCCAAATACTGCTCAAACTTGTACTACCTCTACCATTATGGGATTGGAATCGACAGTTACACAATTTTACTAAAATGGTATGGCAACCTGAATTGATGTACGTCAGTCAGTCAGTCAGTCAGTTGCAACGTAGAACTTCGTACGTAAGTACATCAGTTCATGTCGCCATACCACATCAGCACAGAAAATAATTGTCAATTCAAATCCAATAGTAGAAGAGGTAGTAAAGGTATTAGAAGTAATCCGAGAGGTTAGAATTAGAAGATATTATTCACGAAGTATGATTCAATGAGATAAGTTTAGAAAGTCAAAACTAGAGGTGTTGAAGAATCCAGAAGATTAGGATTTGAAAGAACACAAAGAATAAATGCACTGGCGCCTTTGCGAACGATTTTGAGCCATGTCATTCAAGGTCTCTAGCCATCGATTATTATCATCTCGTGGACCCCAACCAGGTAGTCGACAATTACCGACATGGCTAAGTCCACTCGTCAATGACTTCATGGATTTCTGCCATGTTTTGGTTTGGCCGCCCCTAACTTTCTTCCAACCTACTCCCCTACACTACAAAACAAAGCTCGACGAGGCAGTCGGTTGATGTACGTACTTATGTACAAAGTTCTACGTTGTAGTTGACTGACTGACTGACTGACTGATAGAAAAGTGTAACGATGCCTCTACTAAATATAGTACTAGATTTTTCAATTTAAATTGATAAAATATTATTATTATTATTATTATTATTGTTGTTTTTCAGCGTATTAATGATCATCATCATCATCATAATGATGATGATGATACTGATGATCGGCCAGATGAACAACCACAACTAGTGTATGATCCATGTTCAAATGTTCATGAATTAGAAGCAAGAGCATTTATAAAACAATGGCAATATGAACATAAACTTGGTCATATCGATGAAACACCAATGAATAATGATATGCAAAATAATGAATCAAGTAAACATTTTATCTAATTTTTGTTCATTCACAGTACTTTCCTAAAATTTGCCCTTTTTTTTCCTCCTTTTGTAGGTGTTCTACCAAGTCGAATTATGTTTCGATCTGCTGAAGAACGTTGTGCTGATGATAAAATCCCAGTGAAAAAACGGTTAGACAGTGAAATTCTTCCAATAAATCGACCATTACTATTGCCACCACCGCAAAAACAGAAAAAAAATTTTACACGTGATCGTTCACCGATTGATTCGAAACGAAAAGGCACAAAATGTTCATTGTTATCATTTGATCTAGATGAAGATGAAGGATGATAGATTGTTAGTAGTATTATTATCATCAATATTAGTAGTATATAATGCTAGTAACATTTGACGCTGTTCATATCATTGTAATATATATTCAAGGTAAAACATTGTTTGTTTGTTTTTTTTCGTTATCATTTAATGTGTATATGTTGATTAATGATTAATGAAATACATTCACTATTCAAATATAGATGATGTTTGTTTTTGTCATAAATATTTTGCTGACATGTATCAGTCAGTCAATTACAACGTAGAACTTCGTATGTACGTACGTACGTACGTCAGTTCAAGTTACCATACCACATCAGCACAGAGAGACGCCACCGTCAGTTCAAACAGTAGAAGAATTACTGGTAATGGAGAATTTTAGGGATCGAAGGTATTATTCAAGAAGTGTAGTTCAGTCAGATAACTTTAGAAAAAGAAAGATGAAGATGATGAGGAATACTGAAGATTAGAATTTGAGAGAACACAAAGAGTAGATGCATCTGCGTCATTGCAAACGATTTTGAGTCATGTCGTTCAAGGTCTCCAACCATTGGTGACTTTCGTCTCGCGGACCCCAACCAGGTAGTCTACATCTGTCAACACAGCTCAGTCCCGTTGTTAATGACTTCATGGATTTGTACCATGTTTTGGTGTGGCCGTCCCTAGCTGTCTTTTAAGCTAATCTTAAACCAAAAAACATCGCTCGTCTAAGTAGTCGGTTGTTGGGCATTCGTAACACACGTCCCAACCACCTCAACTTTTGAAGCTTCACTACTTTATCTATTGATCTGCCATCCCTGCGTAGTACTCGTTTACTGAAGACAGCACTGCTTAATTGGCTGTCACAGGATATACGACATGTTTATCAAATTAAAAATACATAGTATATTACCACCTCAAAACTACTACTGGTTTGAGTGAATACATCATAGTAAACAGGTTTTCAATTTACAAAACTTATTTGCTGCATATGTTACTATTTATCCTCGAACTAGATTTATTTGTGTAAGAGTAAGTTCAGTAAGTCAGTCAGCTACAACGTAGAACATCGTACGTACGTACATTACTTCAATTTGCTATTACCACATTAGCACAAAGAGATCGACTTGTCAATCCAAATTTCACAGTAGTAGAAGTATTAGCGGTAATCAAAAAAATTAATGATCGAAGATATCATTCAAGAAGTATATCTTGGAAGAATCGATTTGAAAATAGAGAAAAAACGGTCATGATGAATTTTAGATTAGAATATGAAAAAGGACAAAGAATGGATGTACCTGCGCCACTACAAACGATTATGAGCCATGTCGTTCAAGGTCTCTAACCATCGTTTACTATTGTCTTGCGGATCCCAACCAGGTAGTCTACACCTATTAACATGGCTCAGTACAGTTGTCAAGGACTTCATGGATTTGTACCATATATTGATTCGGTCTCCCCTAGCTGTCTTCCGAGCTAATCTTATACCACAAAACATCACTCGTCTAGGTAGTCGGTGGTTGGGCATTTGTATAACATGTCCCAACCACCCCGACTGATGTGAATGGACAACTTCATTTATTGATTTGCCTTCCTTAGTTGTTACCCTTTAGCTAACACTACCTTTGTTTACTCAGTGGTCCCAGGATAGACGAGCAAGGCTTCGAGGACACCTCTTATAGAATACTAGTAACTTGCGCATATCCTCTACTCGGAATGAATGTTTCAAATCCATATAGTGGGATGGAGCAAACTGCTGCGCAGTAGACTCGTCCTTTGGTTAGTAAATTGTTATCTCTTTTAAGTCAGATGTGACGCAAGTTGGCAAAAGCCGATCGAGCGTTCTGTATACGTGCCGAAATTTTGTCAGTTACCAGGCCATCAGCGCCGATGAGGCTCCCAAGATAAGTGAACCGGTCAACTTACTGCTTCACTCCCTATCACTAGTTCAGGTGCCGACGCTAGCCAATCCTTAAGCAACATTTTGCATTTCGAAGAAGGGGGGAATCGCATCCTAAACATGCCTGTATTGTTGCTTAGGATGGTCAGAAGGTATATTCCACTCCATTTGTAAAACCGAATCGTCTAGAAGCATGTGATTCGAAACAGCAACAGTATCTTACAGTTTAAAATCAAACATAATAATCATTTCGTAATGGAACCGGATGCACTGGAAAGAATTAAATTAAACAATATATAAGACAAACAGTGAAAAACACAATCACCTCAACTGGAAATGTATACTTGACTCATCGGAAATCTAACTAATCAGAATTCTCCTGAGGTTTGTACTTCATAATTCAGACATTGTGCAAGTAAGTTAAAGTTATATTTGATTTCAACAGTAGCTTCAATTTAGATATCTAGTTCATTGAGTAATTCAACTAGACATTTGTCAATAATATACAGGTCGAAGAAAATTGTCTGTCGTCTGAAAAACTGTTAGTCAGATTTAAATGAAAACTACATGAATCAAATCTCTGCCAAAATCAAGGTGTCTTCGAAGCATTGCTCGTATATCCTCGGATACCTGAGTGAGCAACTCTGTTATTAGGAATCGGGTGCTAGGTAAGAATGGCACATCAATAGATGAAGTAATGAAACTTCATCAGTTGAGGTGGTTGGGACATGTGTTACGTATGCCTAATCATCGACTGCCTCGACGAGCTTTGTTATGTAGTGTAGGAATAGGTTGGAAGAAAGTTAGGGTCGGCCAAACCAAAACAAGGCAGAAATCCATGAAGTCATTGACGAGTGGACTTAGCCATGTTGGTAGTTGTCGACTACCTGGTTGTGGTCCGCGAGATGAAAGCACTGAATGGCCATTTCGTTCTGGTATAGGACTCTTCAGCAATGTCGGATGTCACAAGTTCGACTCCCGTGAATGGAGGTCGTGTTTGCGCACTACTGATGAGCCTCATACTAGGACGAAACGTCCGTCCATTACTCACAGGTTACTAATGGTGGTCTAGCTGAGATCAGTTCGTGATTTAAACTATGTAACCTCGTGTAACATCACTCGTCTAGACATCAATAGGAATAGGACTATTTGCTAAATGTTAACAAGTAGTATGAAACTCCCTGGGCAGCATCATTGATGAAGGACGTGGATCTGATGCAGATGTGAAGGCGTAGATTGGCAAAGCGATGGCGACATTTCTACAACTGAACAACATCTGCAACTCAAAACAATTATCAACCAACACCAAAATCAGAATTTTCTATACAAATGTCAAGTCTGTTCGACTGTATGGGGCGAAAACTGGGAGAAACATGAAATCCATCATCCGAAAGATACAATTGCTTATTACCAGTCGTCTACGCACAATACTCTGATCCGTTGGCTAGATTCCATCAGTAACAACCTACTGTGGGGGATAACAAACCAGATTCCAGTGGATGAAGAAGCGCTAGAAGTGGATAGGACACACATTAAGGAAAGCACCCAACTGTGTCACATGACCAGTCTTCACTTGGAATCCTCAAGGCCAAAGGAGAAAATGATGACCAACGAGAACGTATTGTCGAGAATCGGAAGCAGACATGAAAAGGATGAGCAACAAATAGATAGAAGTGGAAAGGAAGGTGCCAGGACTGATTAGGTTGGAGAATGGTGACCGGTGGCTTATGCTGCATTAGGGGTAACAGGCGTAAGTAGGTATCTAAAAAACTCCTCCTGGAACACTTCTAGAGTTACTGCCAGTCCTATATCCGGAGAGAGGAGAAGGGTGAAGCAATAAATAGAAAACAATTTAAGAAGAGAATAAGAACAATGAATTGTGAAGGAACTTAATGTATTTAATAAAACTCGCACACGTTATTTAATCATGAAATGATTAAATTTGATATTTTAACAATTATTCAAACATTATGAGAAGTAGATATTAATAACTTTGCGATTATATAAGATATAAGAATTGTACTAATCTACAAAGTTCTTAGATAGGATCTGTGCATGAACACAAGTGCAGTTCAAATCATTTAATCTTTGGAAAATGATTCACCAAATAAATGTTGTCAATACACTTGAAAATGTTTTGTCGGTGAACTGGTAGATTATGTACGAAACATATGTTGAAATGAAGAGACTAATGTAGCATGTACGCAGTCGATACTCCTTTCAATGGAGAATATGGTTGGCACATCAAAAAGTTCTGATCGCATCCGCTCGTCAATATTTTAGGATCTGACGAACACTGCCTATTATACTACGTTGCATCATCTCTATTTTTAACAAATACTAGCTATCGGATAGACAATAACCTATCTTAGTATTCTATCTAATAAGCCGCCTATCTAATAATCCTGGTTCTCATGAGGAGTTAGTCAAAATCAATGAAGACAAGTTAGCTTAATTAACGAATGTCAATCATATAAAAACTATCGTCAGTCACTTGCAACGTAGAACTTCGTACGTATGTACGTAACTTCATGTTTCCATACCATATTAGCATACAGACTCAAATGTCAAATCAAATCCCATATTGATAAAGATAGTAGAGGTATTAATGGTAATGAAGAAGACTAGGATTCGAAGATAATATTCAAGAAGTATAATTCAGTGAGATAAGGTTAGAAAGACAAAGATAGAGGTGCTGACGAATCCAGAAGATTAGGATTTGAGAGAACACAACGAATGGATGCACTAGCGCCATTGCAAACGATTTCGAGCCATGACGTTCAAGGTCTCTAACCATTGGTGACTTTCGTCTTGTAGTAGCCTACATCTACCAATATGACTCAATTAACTTGTCAGTGACTTCATGGATTTGTGCCATGTTTTGGTCTGGCCGCCCCTAGCTTTCTTCCAATCTACTCCTACACTGCAAAACATCACTCGTCGAGGCAGTCGGTGGTTAGACATACGTAACACATGTCCCAACCACCTCAACTGATGAAGTTTCACCACTTCATCTATTGATCTGCCATCCTTACCTAATACTCGTTTCCTAACGACAGCATTGCTTACTCGGTTGTCCCATGATATACGAGCAATGCTTCTTAAACATCTATGATCAAATACTAGTAACCTACGAACATCTTCTACTCTTAACGGCCATGTTTCACAGACATATAGAAGAACGGAGCGAACTGCTGCTCAGTACACCCGTCCTTTGGTGAGGGAACTATAGACTCAATTATGAGCGAAATCAAATGTCATTACATCACTAATCCATCATCAACATTTGCTGACTATGCTTACCTTCTAGCTTTGATCTTGACACTATCATCTTGTGTGAGGGTTACTTTCAAATTGCCTAACCCTAACCGGAATCGATGTGTATCCAGTAATGAAAACTAAGTGATTCAGAAGATTTATCCCTGAACAATTGACTGACTGACCATCATCATTATATTCTCATATATTTTATATACAAAAAAGCTTACGCTGGTTACATATACTTCTTCAATGATATATTCAACCCCTAATACTTTTGATTACCGCTATTACTTCTACTACTATGGGATTTGCATTGACAATTCGATCTGTCTGTGTGCGAATGTGGCATGGCAACATGAACACTGATCTACACACGTGCATAAGAAGTTCTACATTGTTGCTGATTGACTGACCAGAGTAAGCTTAGTTCGAAAAGCCTATCACAGTTAGAATTGTAAATTCTTAGGCATTAAAACTTGTCTAAATCTTTCCGTCATCTGACCGTTTTAAATTGAGCATTATATGTTGTGTAGAGTTGGAATTTAGCCAATTATTCCCAATGAAATCATAGGCCGATCACTGAAAACCTAGAAGCACTGGACGGTCTTATCAACCTAGTGTGACTAATACTACTTGGTTTCTAAGTAGTATGGAGCAGAGTGTCTCTCAGAAGTTACTACCAAACAGAAAAGTGTCGGATCAGAATGCTTTACACAATCCAAGTGTTTTGAAGATGAGAAGACTTATGAAAGATAGTTAGTAACCTGTTTCTTTTGCAAACGGAAGTCTGAAGATTAGGTTTACATACATTTTGTTAATGAAAAACAATATCTTTCCAAATATACCAACATTCTTCTCTCTGGTTTTGACATCTCCATTCATTATACTAGTATCGAACTCATCAACAGAAATCAAACCCAAGAACCTGTGTATCATGATTTCAACGGAACTCAACAATCTCCAACAACGCTAATATTAACTATAATGCCAACAACTCGAGTTCAATTAGTTATTGATAACGAATCTCTCCTCATACCGACATGAACCAATTGGATTAGTCAAAAACTGGAACAAATTATTAGGTTATACATGTGTGTATTATATTGTATTTTCATTTTGTAATTCTCCTGATGATCATCTACACATGATCATTACAAAACAATTAACATGATTCATCATACATTATTATCGAGGTAGGTAGTTGTTGTCAAATGAAAAACCAATCAACCAACCAACCAATCAGTGAATCAGTCCGTGAATCAATCAATCAATCAAAACAGAATTACATAACGAAATTAAAGGAATGAGAAAAGGTTGGAAAATCTTTTCAACATGTTTTCAATTGCAAAAATTATTCAAACGAACATATTGTATATATATTATGTATAGGAGATATATACACATATATATGTATATATAAATAAACTTTGTTCTGTTCTAGTGACAATTTTTCAAAGAACAGAAAAACAAAGAAAGACAAATTATCTATCTGGCAATTGTTTAATGGGAAAAGGAATTTCAACCTAAACGACCACCTCCTCCACCAAACGGTCCAAATCCACCACCGGCTTGTAATTGACGCATCATATTTTGTAGACCGGCCATACCGCCCATTTGTTGCAGGATACGTGGATCAAGTACTTTAGCCATGGATTGATTTAATTTAGCCATTTGCCCGGCACTAACTGATCGTGAAGCTGCTGCCATTTCAGCAAGACTTGGTGCATTGCCACTGCCTGCTGCTGCTGCCGCTGATGCTCCACCACCTCCAACTCCACCGGGACCACCACCCAATGCACCTAAACCGCCAGCTTTAGAACCAGTTTGAAATAATCCTTTAATACCGCCCATTTTTTTCACAACCATATAAAATTTATTATGTTGTGTTAATAAAAGTTTCACTTCAGCTTGACTAACACCTGCACCACGAGCAACTCGTAATGTTCGACCAGGTTGTCGATTAAATAAACGTCCACCTTCATCAGAGTCTAGTTCATAATCATTCATACTATCCATAATGGTCATAAGACGTTTTAAACGTCGATGACTTTCCTTTTACAGAAAACAAACAAAGAAATGAAACATATAGAGGAAACAAGCCGTAGTGCTAATAATATATTCAGAAGGTAATTTGTTTTATTGGAAACTCGAACCCCTTTGGGGTTACTGCCGATCCCAAGCCTGGATAAAGGAGGGTTGAGCATGAGGGTTATCGACTCCGTGAAAATTAACCATGAAAAAAATAATAATTCAAACCATTTAAACTTTACACTGAGAGTTGGAAGGTATTCTCATTCAGGAGAGTTATGACATTTCATGATGAAATGTCGAGTTTATTCGGGTGGCTACGAGGCCGATGCTCACATTCTGACCACCAGAATAACTAATACTTTTACCGGTTCAATTTTATTTACTTAATTTTTCATCAACGAAACAAATCAATTCGGATGCTAGTGGAATCCATTTGTGATCGATGAAAAGAGACAATGTCATAGGGCCATTCCTATACTGCACTAACATTGGTTGAGAGGGATAAACGGTTTGAAAAAAGTATAATCTAGAACAAGCAATGGCTTGTATTTTCAATGATAATTGATCGGGGAAAAAGATGCTGAACACTGAGCATAAGCAGGAATTTGTAAGCTGAAATTTGTAAACATTGTGTAGATTTTTAAAAAATAAAGCATAAAACTAGAAGCTTTCATCAATTTCATAGTTGACAGTCATATATCGAACCTCGTTGAAGATGTTTACTTTTGTCGGTTGGTTAAGTCATACATAATTGAGTGACTGATAGGAAGGAAGGCGGTTGAAGTCAAAGAAAACAAGAACAAATCGACATAATAGATTATTTAGATCAGTAAGGTAGGAATGATCTTTTTCCTTTGAGATTTCAACTAAACCTACTAGATGACTGAAGCAACCTTACAGAATGATTTAATCTGTTGTTGAACTAGTCAAAATAAAACGTTTACTCACTGTTTCATCTAAATTCCATATCGGTAAGTATATATTCGCTCCGTCCTATTGTGCGGATGAGAAAGATGGCCGTTAAGAGTAGAGGACTTCCGTAGGTTACTAGTCTTCGATCATCGATGTCCTCAGAAGCATTGCTCGTGTATCCTGGGGCAACTATATAACCAATGCTGTCGTTAGTAAACAAGTTCTAAGTAGGGATGGCAAATCAATAGATGAAGTATTGAAACTTCATCAGTTGAGTTGGTTGGGACATGTGCTACGTATGCCTAAGCACCGACTGCCGCGACGAGCTATGTTTGGTGGTGTAGGAGTGCGTTGGAAGGAAGCTAGGGGTGGCCTGACCAAAACATGGCACAAATCCATGAAGTCACTGACAAGTGGACTGAGTATTCATGTTGGTAGATGTAGGCTACCTGGTTGGGGTTCGCGAGACGGTAGTCACCGATGGTTAGAGACCTTGAACGACATGGCTCAGAATCGTTTGCAATGGCGCAGGTGCATCGACTCTTTGTGTTCTATGAAATTCTAACCTTTCACCTTCTAAATTTATCTCACTGAATTATACTTCTCAAATTATATCTTCGCTCTCTAATCTTCTCCATTACTGCTAATACTTCTACTATTGTTATCACTCTTGGATTTGAACTGATAGTTGCGTCTCTGTGCTGATGTGGTATGGCAACCTGAACTGATGTACTTACGTACGAAGTTCTGCGTTGTATCTGTCTCTCGCTCTGGTTAGTATATATATATATATAGAACGGTATATTCCCTAATTATCGATTCTACTCAATCAAAGCCTAGAGACTCTCGTACACATATAGGTGTAAGTAAGTAATATATATGTGTGTAATTTTATGATCAGTGTTAACAGATCATGAATTTCTACTTGCAAACAGCGAAAAGAAGTAAACAAGATTTTAAAAATACAAAGAGAAATAATATCGATGTTATATCACAGGGTTTAAAAGAGATTATTGCGTTTCATCGTAATCATGGATCGATTAATGTCACACCACCATTAAAGATCAGAAACCACTAGAGAGCTGTTTTATCCTAGTATTGGGCTCATCAAAGGTTAGGTGTTCGCGTGTGAGATCAAAGATCCTCAACTCGATTCCTGCATATGGGTGTTCGTGGATGCGTACTACTAATGAATACCATATTAGGACGAAATGGCCGTTCAGTGCTTCCAGGTGTTCAACCACGGTGCCTAACATTGATCGATCCATGATTTCAATGTCGAATTAAATGAGACAACTAAACACAAGAAATATAATTTGAAAAGAATAAATGACAGTACATTACTAGTTTCAGTTGCCAAACCGTATTAGCACAGTACAATACAAATCCCATAGTAGTAAAAGTAGTAATAAAAGGTTACAACTGTCTTGCGGACCAAAACCTGTGCCATGTTTCAGTCTGGTCGCCCCTAGCTTCCTTCCAGCCTATCTACATCAGAAAATATAGCTTGTCGACGCAGTAAGTGGTTAGGCATTCATAATACATGTCCCAACCACCTCAACAAGTGAAGATTCACCACTTCATCAATTGACTTGCCATCCTTACCTAGTACACACTTTCCCTAATACCAGCATGGCTTACACGATTATCCCAAGATATACGACCAATGCTTCGAAGACACCTATGACCGAATACTAGTAACTAGTCATAGTGACCATATTTCACACCAGTATAGTAGGACAGAGAGGACTGATGCACAGTAGACTCGTCTTTTGTTTAGTAGACGGATGTCACGCCTACTCCATAAATGACGCAAGTTGGCAAAAGCCAGTCGAGACTTCCGTATCCATGCTGAGATTTTTTGTCAATTACAAAGCCATCGGAACTGATGAGACTCTCAAGGTCAGTGAAGCAGTCGACACTCTCAACTGCTTCACTCCCTATCACTAGTTCAGGTGCCGACGCAAGCATTTTAAGGGGGAGAATCGCATCCTGAAAATATTTGCAATGTTAGTCGAATCTTTTAAAGTAATTCTTGTAAATTAGTATTATCATTGTTCGGTCACTATTTTAATCCATCTACACATCGATCAATATGTCACGTAAAAGAATTATTGTACCGAATATGCATGAAATAATCTAATCGTTTATAAAAGCTAACAAATATAATTACTTCATCTAAAATATAAAATAATAAGTAATCGTTTAAAAGAACATTCAGATAATTGATCTTTAGCATCATTAACTTAAGCCGACGATAGTTTAAATTAACAATGAAATCATGAATCGATCAATGTTAGACCACCATTAGAAACCAAGAATGGCCATCTAGTGCTAGTATGGGACACACCAGCAGTCAGTAACCACGACTCTCGCTACTCGCAGGAATCGAACCCAGTACATTCGATCTTGCGGGGGAACGCATAACCTCTGGACCACTGAGCCGGCATACAACGCGGTGTTGATGCCCAACTCTGATCAATCTAAGGCTTTTGCGCAACCACATCCATTATCTTCGGTAGTTACTGCCTACCTTCAACAGGTTTGAACTCCACTGGTCACGTCTTCTCACTAGAACCCTCAAAATTTCCTCACTGGCAAACACATTCTATGATTTTTTATTCAAGAGTTATACAGATCGTTATTTTACATTGACATCATGCATCAATCATGGTTAGACCATCATTAGAAACCTGGAAGCACACTGGATGGCAGTCAGTCAGTCAGTCAGATGCAACGTAGAACTTCGTACGTAAGTACATCAGTTCATGTTACCATACCACATCAGCACAGAGATAGAATTTTCAATTCAAATCCAATAGTAGAAGAGGTAGTAAAGGTATCAGAAGTAATCAGAGAGGTTAGGATTAGATGATATTATTCAAGAAGTATGATTCAGTGGGAAAAGTTTACAAAGTTGAAGAATCCAGAAGATTAGGATTTGAGAGAACACAGAGAATAAATGCACTGGCGCCATTGCGAACGATTTTGAGCCATATCATTCAAGGTCTCTAACCATCGATTATTATCATCTGGATGGCCGTTTCGTCCTGGTATGGGACTCATCATTAATGGCCATTGCAGTAATTTTGAAATAAAACCCAATGGAAGAGTATTTTATCGACTATTACTCAACTTATCAATGGACACAATGTCTAGTCCTTTAGACTACTGGGAAACATTTGAAATCATTGAAAAAAATTTTGATATCGTTCGGCACTCAAACCTAGAACCATTATTTTTTTACAGTGCAGAAAAGAAGTTTACATCAGAAAATTAGCAACATGTTAAGTGATAAACATACCAAAAAGGCATAAAATGATGCAATCTGAGGAAAATAAGTTAGATGCACTAAAACATTCCATGGCACCGAAAGTCAAAATAAAAATAGCTTAATCAACTGTAAGGTTTCCTTCTACATTTAACATAAGCTGATAAATAAGCTCCCAATTTACAGAAATTCTCGGTGTAAGATGATGATTGGAGGTAGTCAACAGGGTTTTCGGTCAATCACCACCTCATGCCTCACAACCTAGATTAGTCGGCCACACTGCAACTTGATTGATAGAATTCAACCAGACCTAAAGAAGGTCACTAGTCAGTAATCGACAACAAGTCAGTCGTAGCCCGAATAGCTCATTGATAACGTTACTGACTCCAGCGCTAAGGCGACACGGGGACAAATCGTCTGTGAAGCATAAGCTCTCACGAGTGTAAACAAGTACGAAACCCGGGTTCATAGTCTCTTGTCAAGTAACTAAAACCAACAACACCACAAGAAAACGTCGTAATAACCGACTTACTTGATCATTAGCAAGTAAATCTTGTCCAAGACCGGGTATAGCTGAGAGAACTTGTGAAAATGAACCAATTTTTAAGATATTTTGAAATTGTTCATACATATTACGCAATGTGAATACACCTTGTTTGAGCTTTTTCACTAATTCTTCATTTTCATCTAATTTCAACTCTGTCACCTAGAAAATAATGAAAAAAATTTATTATTATTATTATTATTATTATTATTATTATTAGACAGTAACAGAGAAAAAAAGTACAACCCATAATGGGATAAGTTAAAGCAAAGTGAAAAACAAAGTAATCAATATTGAGGCGGTAATACTCTATTCACTCCGATTGGCTATTTTTTTTAGACAGTACGTAAACAAAAAAAAGTTAAAACTATACATATTTATATGGAAGAGATCGATGGGGGCGCCAAAACCAAAACATGGCACTAATCCATGAAGTCACTGACAAGTGGATTGAGTCATGTTGGTAAGTGTAGGATATCTGGATGGGGTCCGCGAGACGTATGTCACCAATTGTTAGAGACCCTGGATGACATGGCTCAAAAGTGTTTGTAATGACGTACGTGCATGCATTCTTTGTGATTTTACAAATCCTGCTCGTTTGAACTTCTCACCACTTGTATCTTTCTCTTGTAGCTGACTGACTGAATACACCAAAATTATAGGTAGCCTAGCGTTGAATTGAACATTTGAACCATTGATTGACGAATTTAAATCTAATTTTGATAAATTTATCCCACTGCTGCTACCTTGACGTGGTGGTCAGGCTTGCCTATCGTGATCACCCAAATAAATTATATTGGCTGGAACATATGTTTCTTTAGGTAATAACATGCCAGACAGGTCGATTGGAGAACGGTAAGACTAAAAGCAGCAATTCAAGGTCTGAGAGTGAAGTCGTACTGTTGACTGACTGTAGAGGGGTGTGACAGCAATAAGGTATTTCCCTCAGACAACCAGCATGTGCAGTGATGCTGCCTTCTCACAATATAATAATAAAAAGGCGAATAAACCGTGTAAATTGGTCAGTTAGAAATAATGTAGTTTCTAGAAGAATAGGCATTCAGATAAGTTGCCATACTACTATTATAACTACCAAAGGTTCTACGCGTCAAAACCCTTCCACATAACCGTACATGTATAGCCACCATCACGGAAGTCCTACTCACTCCCATCTCGTAGCGGGGTTTTTGGTTACGAAAAGCGAATGTCAAGCACGTTAACAGGGTCAGTGGGTATGAAGGACCCCCTAAGGGTTAGGGTGTCGTTGAAAAAGTTGAAGTAGCCCCTTTTAAGAAAACCATTAGCTCCGGGTTTAGGCACCCGGACCATATATTTGTGCATTCTTACAGCCTATTAAACAGTAAAGGTAGCCATCTATCTACGAGATGTCCACGCCAACACAGCTTGGCATGATATCCATAAAGCTGTGGAAATAGTAGCGATATTTGCCAATGAGGTAAACCTAAATTTGGGAAAAATCAGTGGGTTGATAGATGCTCGAAGACTCATCCCACCTGACCATGAACACGATGAGAACTGGAGTTAACTTAAACACAAGCTGATAAGAAACCTTCGCAATGATGGTGAACAATGGTAGAGGGCAGAGAAACCACAACAAGAGATGTAAAAGGTGGCAGTGGCAGCGATGGCAATACTGCAGTAACAATACACAACTAATCAGACTTTAATAAAGCGTATATATATATTTATATACATGTGATAATAATAAATACTTACACGTTCTACTAAACCTTCCAAATCACCTAAACCTAGTAATTTTTGTACAAATGGTTGAACTCGAAATTGTTCAAAATCTTCAACATGTTCACCAGTTCCAATAAATGTAATTGGACTGTGTGTAGCTGCAACAGCGCTCAGAGCACCACCACCTAGAAAGAGAACAAACAAAGAAAGAAGGTAGGACAAGTTTTCGAAAACAACAACAACAACAAAATAGAAACAAACTTAAATGAAGCCTTCAATGATCAATATCAATAATACACATTAAACGAATGCGAGCCAAAACAAAGAGTATTGTAAGAGTATTGTATTTCATACAACAATCACTTTCCAAGTTGAACGAAGGACTATACCGAAACTAGCATTCCATATTTTACAGAAAATTAATGAATTCAGTAGTAAATAGTCACAGTTATTTGATTATGCAATTGGTTACAAGCTACCTGAAGTTAAAAGTAGGTATTAGTCTTCCAATAATACACATAAAAAGATATTTTCATTATAAAGTTGTGGAGATTGTTGAATTATTTTTCGAAATCATGAATAAAACAATGTTAGATTATCATTAGAAACTTGGGAGCAGTGGACAGCTGTTACGTCCTAGTGTGAGACTCATCAGCAATATGTATCCATGACCCTAGATCGCGGGAATCGAACCCTGGACCTTCGGTCTGAGGCGTGATATTTGTCAAATTACTTGTTCACGTGGAACCAAGTATAAAAAGTTGTTTTATACATATACATTACCTAGCTTGATTGAAAAGAGGTGGAAAGGGTTCACTGATAAACTTTACAATCGAACAACTTTTCAACACAGATCATCGGATTAGAAAAAACTTTGTATTTTAAGTCGTCTACAATACAAGTAGAAAGCTACCATAAGTAGTTGTTAGCTTCCACTTTGTTCTAATGTCATCAAACCATTTACTATACATTTGGAAAAATCAAAGTTGTATATGCAAGAGAAACTTGTACAAACAAAATTTTTTTTGTCACGATTTCAATCGCCCATAATTTTATTCCCCTTACCCTCTTTCCCATCCATTTGCTTTCCTTCTGTCTTCTTCTTTTTAAATCTTTTATTGCCCAACTAATTTTCTGGTGTTTCTTTGATCCCTCTGACTACAGTTCATCTTTATCTTATCTTATCTTATCTCAAGTGGAGTTTTCCCTTCCCAATTATAATTTCTTCATCTATCTACAGAGATAACTTCACCTAAAGCCCTTATGAGGTTATTGCCAGCGCCAAGCTCGGAAAAAGGAGGAGAGTCGTGTCTCCATAAGTGGAATTACTTTTATAAATAAAAAAAACAAACCATACATAAAACAGAAAGATGTAAGAATTAAATTATAAAGTCTTAACTAGTGAAGTCATCGTAAATTTATTACAAATCTATTTCAATACAATAATATACAAGTCAGTCCAATCAGTCAACTACAACGTAGAACTTCATAAGTACGTACATCAGTTTAAATTGCTATACCATGAGACCACAGAGCTGCAACTGTGGTAGAGGTAGTAGAAGTATGAGCAGTAATCGGAAAGATTAGGGTTTGAAGACGTTATTCAAAGAGTATAATTCAGTGTAGGAGTATGTTGGAAGAAAGTTAGGAGAGGCCAGACCAAAACATAGCACGAATCCATGAAGTCACTGAAAAGTGAACTGAATCATGTTGATAGGTGTAGACTACCTGGTTCGGGTCCGCAAGATGATAGTCACCGATGGTTAGAGACTTTGAATGACATGGCTCAAAATTGTTTGTATCGACGCAGGTGCATCTATTCTTTGTGACGTCACAAATTTTAATCGTCTAAATTAGTCCGTCACCTTTATCTTTCTCGTTTTAAGTTTGCTTCACTGGATTGTGCTTCTTCAAACTCTAATCCCTCTGATTACTGTTCATACTTGTACAACCTCTAGTACTATGAGATTTGAATTGACAATTACATCTCTGTACTGATGTGCTACGGCAAAATGAACTGATGTACTGACTGAAAAAGAGGAAGATAAAGATGAATAATTATTGTATACTAAGAAAAGATGGTTTGTGGCCACCATTGGAATTCGGGATGCGTGTTTCGTCCTACTATGGGACACGTCAGCTAAATGTAACCCAATCGGATAACTGGGGCAATCTGTACAGGATGTACAAATGCCAAAGTGACTGATCGATTGTAGTTCTGAAGAGATAAATAGCAAGATTCAAACCTCAGATAGATGTTTGTGCTGCTTATGATGTTGTTCAGAAGAAGAACAATGATGAAAACTCCACAATCAACTAAACATCCAGCTCGGAGAACGAACGAAACTCCACCACAATCATCATCTCAAAACTAATATAAATGAATCAATGATCTTATATTGTAACAAATAAAAAAGAGAGATTTTCTTTATCTTAACTCACCTTTTGCATGACCATCTAATTTTGTAACAATCACTGATGATACATCAACTTTTGCTTTGAATGCACTAGCTTGAGCTTCACAAGCTTGACCAATTGAAGCATCTAACACGTAAATCACATGATCTGGTTCAATAGCATTGGAAACCTAGAAAAAAAATCAATCGCACATGAATTCATGTTACACTGATTAAATAGTTTATAACATGATGTTCAAGGGATGTAGGATCGGTAAATATAATTTATGAGGAATAAAGTCAATATTGTTAGGGGATGTTTCAGTCAGATTTCGACCAATTTGGTCTTTCGTGCTGTTACGGGTATGAGGGCGGTTGTCATTTTCCGGCTGCCCACACCGTGGAAGGTTGTTTCTTGAGGGACATGAAAAGGAAGATAGATTAGTGTTGGTTTTGGAGACCTGGGAGCGTGATCGCAGAGTCCAAGGGACAACTGCTTGAGGCCGGTCACGCACGGCCTTTTTATCAAAGGTATTTTGATGATTAGCTCCGTTCTTAAAGGCCCTTAGTGGACACCCTTACCCAAGGAGACGGAAACCCGTGAGGTAGGGGAGGTGTGACATTTTTAGGGTCGACCTTTTCCAACCCTTCCTTCCTTGTGAGAAGGCAGCATCGCTGCAGATGCTGGTTGTCCGAGGGAAACACCTTACTGCCGTCACAACCCTCTGCAGTTAGCAGTACGACTTCGCCCTCAGACCTTGGGTAGCTGCTTTTAGTCTCATCGTTCTCCAATCGACCTGCCTGGCATGGTAGGACCTGCAGGAATATATGTTCCAGCCAGTATAGCTCGGTTGGGTCATCACGATAGGCAAGCCCGACCACCGCGTCAAGGTAGCAGCTACGGTCGGGGGTTTGATTGTGACCGATTCGGTCTAGTGTGCTGTTACGGGTATGAGGGCGGATGTTACTTCTCGACTGTTCACACCGTGGAAGACTTAAGGTGAGAATGAATATGTAAGATTATTCTTCAAGGCAATTTTTCTTCGTTACATTACCGGATAAACTTTTAGTGCTATTTTATTATGACTTGCAACTTTGAGCGTAACACAACAAGAAGTAGCGAGAGCATATGACACTACACTATACTAGTGAGATATGGATTAACAGTTAGGCTGAACTTTCGTGAGACAGCAGACGGATTGTAAAATATTACCTAAAATGATTCCTCCGGAAGCATAATCATTTATTTTAATAAGTATATACAGAAATAAATGAAAACTTAGCTACCGTATTGAACAACTTCATTTATGGAACAATATTTAGTCGTCGGTCAATTCAAATTTGATCCAAATCAGATTGCCAAGTCATAAATACTATCATATTTGAAAGCAAATTATTATGTACAGATAGATATATCATCTTAAGTTGAGAATTTGTTTCTGGCTGCCGATCCTTTTCCATACATTACAGTGTACCATGAACTAGAGACTTACCTTCTAACCACCGGATAACGAGATTTTTCAACGGAGTAGCACTGGAAAACTGTGTAACAATATCATCCATCAAGCAATCAGCCCAGCTGATGAAAGAAAGTATCCTTTGTCATATGTGACATACTCAACTATCTACTAAATGGTAGATATTGTTTTGCGACAATGGATAGTTGAGTTAATCTACCATTGTGCAACATAGTTAAACTTTTGTAGTGAACGAGAACACAGGTGGGGCAATCGGACTGTATTTAACGAAAATTACAGAGTTACTCAGTAAAATTGGAAAACCATATCGTAAATCGTTGATTTGCAAAATAACAGTTCATCATATCGAACTGGACTGTTCCTGTTGTAAAACATCAATCCATTGTCACTAATCATGTGTTTCATACAAATTCCATTGTGTTCTAACTCTTCCTTTCTTGATCTTCCCCCATCTTCTGCTGCCAGACATTACGTTGACACTGACGTCATATACTACTTATAAGTAGCTCGCACCACACTTTGAGGATTAATCTAGGCTACACATATCTGATCTTAAGTTCTGTCGCCGCATTAACCACGACGTACTGGAACGACTAGGCGATATTAGGTATCAATCGATTTATGAGCTACTTCTGTCTAAGGTTGTGAAGATACTTAATTCCTCTTTATGACAGGTTTTTTATTTAGCCTGGACCCATCATCCAGCTAAATTCAATTTGCGATACTTTAACTGGAATTCAATAGTATTTTTGTAGAAGACATTTACGAAAGTGTTAGTGAAACCAACATAATTCATTGAAAACCAGGTTGAAAAGGTCGTGAAGATAGAGGTAGTTCAGTTTTTGTACATGAGTCGATCAACCAATCAACATCAACGTAGAACTTTGCACATATATATACATCAGTTCATGGTGCCATACCACAACATTAGCACAGAAAAGTGAAATTGTCAATTCCAATCCCATTATAGGAGAGGTAGTAAAAGTATTAGAATTAATCGGAGAGATTAGGATTAGAAGATATTATTCAAGAAGTAGAATTTAGTGAAATAGACTTAAAAAGAAAAAGATAAAAGTGATGAGGAATTTAGAAGGTTAGGATTTGAGAGAACACAGAGAACGAATGCACCTGCGTCATCCCAAACGGTTTTGAGACATGTCATTCAGAGTCTCTCTAACCATCGATTATTATCATCTCGCGGGCTCCAACCAGGTAATCTACACCTATCGACATGGCTAAGTCCACTCGTCAATGACTTCATAGATTTCTGCCATGCTTTGGTTTGGCCGCCTCTAGCTTTCTTCCAACCTAATCCTACACTACAAAACAAAGCTCGACGAGGCAGTCGGTGGTTCGGCATACGCAACACATGTCCCAACCACCTCAACCTTACCTAGCACCCGTTTCCAACAACAGCATTGCTTACTCGGGTGTCCCACGATATACGAGCAATGCTTCGAAGACACATATGATCGAAAACCAGCAACCTACGAAATCTTCTACTCTCACTGGCCATGTTTCACAGCCATAAAGTAAGACGGAGCGAACTACTGCACAGTAGACTCGTACTTTAGTCAGCAAACGGATATCTCGCCTACGCCATAAGTGACGCAGGTTGGCAAAAGGCAGTCGAACCTTCTGTATCCGAGCTGAGATTTCGTCAGTCATATTCCAAGTCAACAGGCGAGGCTCCTAGTAGGAGCCGTGACACCATAAGATCCACCCAGCTGTCTTTCCTTTTCGCTAAATTTACCTACATGAACGTTAAAGTAGATAAAGGTAGTTTAGTTTTTGCAACTGCACTTCAAATATTTTGTCGTAAACAATCAAACAGGCAACTCACTTGAAGCATTTCTTCAAACAATGAATCTTCTTGTCTATGTCGACCACTAGTATCTACTATGATTATCTCAAATTTTTCTTCAGCAAATTTCTGTACACCATCTCGAGCAATCACTACAGGATCAGTTTCTGTATAAGAACCATAAAATGGAATTCGAGCTTTTGTAGCATTTTGTTTCAATTGATCAAAAGCACCAGCACGAAATGTATCCGCACAAATCATACAAGTTTTCCATCCTTTTCTTTGATAAAAATAAGCTAATTTCGTTGCAGTGGTTGTTTTACCACAACCTTGCAAACCAACTAACATAATGACATTGGATGAACCTCTTGCAGGTTGCCAAGCTTTCACTTGAGGATCAACTAAATGAACTAGTTCTTTGAATACAGCCGATTGAATAATTTTTCGTTTATTCAATCCAGCAGCCATTTCATCAAAATCAATGACAGCACGAACATTTTCACGTAATTGTTTAACAAGTCGAATATTGACATCGGCTTCAATTAGAGCTGTACAGATTTCTTTTAATAGGCTATTTAAAACATCTTCATTGATAATCGTTGCATTCCCTAGCGAACGAAGTGCATTGGTGATTTTTCTTCCTAAATCGGCTAACACCATTTTTTCTTAGGCCTGAAATAGAAGATTAAAAGAAGGGATTTCAGGAAAAAGGAGTAGTTTTGGTTATGTGTACCTGATTTGAATTACAAACTTTGAGATAATGATACTACTTACTATCTAATATATGAAGCCAAACATTTCTAATTTGATAATCACTTAAATATAACCAGAAAAAAATTCAGTTAAGGATGGGTAGTGTTGTAAGGCTGCTACGTATCGCTATTCAGTCCTAGCGGCGTCCAATTCAAATATCCCCAATACGACCCAAAATGCTATTTCCAAATCTCCTATATATCAGAACGCAACACCATGGGACGGAGTTGTTTATTGGATCGAGTAAAGAAGAGAGGTAGGCAGCAGAAACGGAATCGGAATCCGAATCATGAAGGCTTACAGATCGTGCGTATTTATACATTAAGGTCGAATAGGAAAGAGCATCAAAGTCTGTGGCAATGACAGTTTAGGAAGACCAATAGGAAAGAACATTTGAAATGACATTGACAGTCCGGAAGACCAATCAGAGACAACATTGAAGTATTTGACTTTGACAGTTAAAACGACCATAATTTCGACCAATGGGATTACACTTCTAAAAATAGTACTCTTAGGATATTTGGTGAGTATCCTAACAGGTAGCTTTACAAATCACACAAAAAATGACAACAAACGTGATATTCCTGAAACTCCAGCTATTACTGGTTACACCAATAGCTCATTAAAAGGGAGATTTGAAGCAAAGAGAATCATGTAACTTTGACAGAAGTACGAACATCACTTGCTGTAACTGAAGCAGTGAAAAAGCATTAACGCCTAAGTATGATAATCACTTGACTTGTATTACTCACTTACTTACTTACACCTGCCACTCCCAATCGAGCATAGACCGCTGACTAATGTTCTCCAACCTACTCTGTACTGGGCTTCCCTTTCTAGTTTTGTCCAATTTTTGTTCATTTTTCTCATGTCTTTCTCTATTTCTCGGCGTAATGTGTTTCTTGGTCATCCTCTTTTCCTTTTATATTGGGGGTTTCCAAGAGAGGGCTTGTTTTGTGACACAGTTGGATGCTTTCCACAGGATGTGTCCTATCCACTTCCACTGCTTCTGACTGATTTCCTCCTCCACTGGAATCTGTTGTTCTTTCCCACAATAGATTGTTGCTGACGGTGTCTGGCCGACGGATGTGAAGTATTTTGCGTAAAAAACTGCTAATGGGTACTTGAATCTTCTGAATGATGGCTTTTGTAGTTCTCCAAGTTTCTGCTCCATATAGTACAACTGTCTTGATTTTTGTATTGAAAATTCTAATTTCAGTGTTTGTTGACAGTTGTTTTTGAGTTCTAGATATTCTTTGATTGTAGAAATGCAGCCCTTGCTTTGACGATAAGCGCCTTTACATCAGCATCGTATCCACCTTGATTGTCGATGACGCTGCCCAGATATGTTAAGGTTTTAACGTCCTTCAATTTATGTCCATTTAGAGTGATTTGGTTGTCGCATGTTGTGTTGTATCGCAGAATCCTGCCTTTCCTTTCTGTATCTTGAGACCCCCTAGATGCTGATGCTGCGGCTATACTGGTCGTCTTCTCATGCATTTGTTGTTGCATGTGCCAGATCATCTGCGAAGCACAGATCGTCCAGCTGGTTGTCCACTGTATCCCGTGCTTCCCTCCAGATGTTGACGTCCTCATAATCCAGTCGATCAGCAGGAGAAAGAGAAACGGTGAGAGAAAGTAACCTTGCCTGGCACCGGTCTTCATCTCAAATGAGTCTGTCAGCTGTCCTCCGTGCACGATTTTGCAGTTGAATCCATCATAAGAATTTCGTATGATGTTGACTATCTTCCCAGACACGCCGTAGTGTCGAAGAAGCCTCCATAGTGTTGTATTTGTATAGTATTTTGCAACTTTCATCTATTGACTACAAATAACATGTTTATCACAGTATCAACACACAAGTAGAATCAACTGAAATAAGACTTTTTCTTATCAAGCCAGTACAAGAAGAATATATTTGAAGATAGAGTATGCTCGATTGACTTTGGTCAATTTACTCCACTTGTATCGTCGGCAAAATATCGGTCTTATTATTGTCTAGGACAGATAAATATTGGTACAAGTAGGCACCAAAGTATATGTACACTACACAATAACAATGAGGTTGTAAAGAAATCGAGAAAGAACTGTATGACAAAAAATAGGTAGAAATTAGAGTATTAGAGCGAGATGATAGTGAGAAAAACAGTTCAGTAAAGGAAAATATAACCAGTTAAAGAAATACTTTAACTTATGTGAAGAAAATGAAGTAAAGTCAAAGAAGATCATCATCTGGACCATGTCTGATAAAGTCTCAATCCGAGTTACACTATCTCTAAAACTCTAACCAGGGGGCTGCGAAGGACCAACAGATGCCAGGTTTGTATAGCCTTCTTTTATGCTGAGAGTTCATGTCCTACACCGATCACCTCTCCGATTCTTCGAACCAGCCCCAGACTTAGCAAATAATATACGATATGAAATATGCTAGAATGACATCCGTAGTATATGTCCAGGCCACCGAAGTTAGTGTTTCAAGATCGTGACACAAATTGAGTTATTGCCACCGAGCTCAAACACAGGTAACCAAACCTCTGCACTACTAACATGGCGTTGCCATCGAATGTTAGCAACCCTTCGCAGACAACGGTTATCCAACACAGAGAGTAGCCTAGCATCCTCAACTTGGAAAGACCATGTTTAACAATCATGGATAGAACTGCACTCAACATTGCATTGTAGACCCAGACAAACTTCAAAAAGATGCTTAAGATGGCCTATATTGGCATAAACCACTCTAACTTTCACCATAAGTGAGTTGATCTCATTACTCACGCTACCACGAGCACTTACATAGCTACCCAGATACATGAACCCTTCGACTGCTTCTGTTTGATCAGTACCAAGAGTGAGCGCAGGTTTAGGGTCCTGCCAGTCTAGTAAACGTATCCTGCAGTCAAAGGTCCAAAGTGCATGCCCTACCTAGGGGCACTAATTGCCGATTAACTAACTGCGGGTGGCATGGCTGGGGTATTACTGCACAGTAAGGCAATATCATCCACATACCGAAGGTTGAGAAGTCTTTCTCTAGGTAACAGATTCGCACCACCATTACCTATATCCATCAAAACTGTTTGCGAAACGTCATCAATGGCAGAGTTGGAAAGGAATAGTGAGATTGGGCAACCCTGCCCAACCCCACTGCTTAGATTAAAAAACGCAGAGATTCGTGTGTATGCATGAGGTGTTTGCATATAAAGACTTCAAGATGCAAATAAACTCCTCAGTCACTCTTATCTAATGGACAATCCCAGAAAACAGTCCTGTCCGACAAGATTCAGGCGGCCTAATGTGAGGAAACTCAGCAATTGTTGGCTTGAAATAAGTGTGGTGATGTTCTAACATTTGGAAAAGGGTGAATATATGATCAGAAGACCAATGGAATTGCTATTTGAAAAAATGTCCGTCGTTTAGGATGTTGATGGAAATAATTGATTGGTGTATTATCAGCTTCACAGATTGTTTCACTCAGACCAGACCTGTTACCAAAGTCCCAGATGAGTTAAAAGGGCTTCCGACAGTTACCAGATGCAGCTGCTGTCTCCAACTCGTAAGCACGCTCCCATCACCATTTTTCTCGGTCCTTGCTCAAACCTTATACTACTCGATTACGTAACAGTTTTATTTTATCGTTAAACTTGCTGTTATCCGGAGTTGACCGAAGTGCTTTTCCTAGCCATAAATGAGGGAATTGATAGTATGTCACTAGAGTTTCGAATGAGGGTCTCGGATAGACAATAGACATGGATCTTAAGCCTTTCTAGAGATATAATAAACACTATCTGTTGTCCAACCTGCATTAGTGAACGAACGTTAGAGGCCAGTTTCAATCGCATACATGGTTTCAGAAAGGTTAATTCAGAATTCTTATTTGGTGGCAGCGCTCAAATTTAAATCAATCAGTGACTTGAGATCGTTAAGATAGGACAAGATTTCCACCACAGGCGAGCTGCTGTGAGGTAGAGTAAGGAATATTGAAAACAGCAATAAATGAATACACAAGTGATGCGACTTGAAATAATTGTTAGTACGATTTATGGGAGTGGGAATTGAGGTGACCACAAAATTTTTCAGTCATTGTCATCATTTAGTTTATTTGTGGGCTGTGATATTGCTCGGGTGTCCAGACCGAAACAGGTGTTTTTTTTAAGAGGTCACTTTGCGAGCCATTTATTAAGACGCCTAGTCCACAAGGCAGTTGAGTGACGTAAGGAGACGCATTCCCATGGAATACCAGTGACTAATAGTAGGTTTACATACCATTCGTTTCATCAGGATGCTGGAGCCCATGTTCACGAGTGGTTTGAAATCAGTCCGCTAAATGGCTGTTTTTACCAACCCAGTTAAAGAGCTGAACATCCACTTTCCGTTCACTCAATTTCGTGAACAACACTCCAGTCACGGGAAGTCAGTGACTAGCGCTTCCCTGGTAGTGGCTATGTACGCATGGTCATTTCGAGACAGCAAACCCCACTGTCAGCCGTACCAGGGCTGACCGAAGGATGAGTCTACTGTGGAGTCAGTCAGTCAGTTGCAACGTAGAACTTCGTACGTATGTACATATGTTCATTTTGCCATACCACACTAGCACAGAGACGCAAATGTCAAATCAAATCCGGGGTACTGTGGAGTAGTTTGTTCCGTTTTATTTTACAGGATATTTGCAAGTCACTAACATCCGATTATAGGTGTTGTTGAAGCATTTCTCGGGTATTGTGGGATCACTGAGTAAAAAACGCTTGAGTCATGTTAGACTACCTGATTTGGGTCCGGTGGTAAGAAACTTTAAAAGACACGCAAGTGCATCCTTCACTGTCTTTCCCCAAATACTAAGATTTTTAATTCTTCATGAGTGTTTTTCCTTTTAAATTTATTTCACTGGTTAGTGGCTTCCCGATTCATACAACCCAACTATGAAGTTAAAAACAGTTAGGTTGGATTTTAAAGAAGTTGGATGCTTTAACTACCAAAACATTGCTCTCTGTTCGAGCCAAAAGGGATATAGTCCCCTTTTTTGGTGCACAAAAATTCTTTCTTTGAAACAAAGTATGAATGACTTTTTGAATTGCCATTCCAACCACCTATTTTGAAATTTCTTCTTAAAACATCTAATGAGGAGTGATATGACTGAAGAACCAAAACCCATGCGAACACTGGTTTTCGCTGTTAAATTATGTGGAAATGCAGCTCAATACTGGAGTACAAACCAATTATAATTCTTAACTAGCTTGTATCGATTTAAGAGGCACACATAATTAGACATCCAATGATACTACCATGCTATCCATCCCTCTAACAGTGAAAAACATTTCCAATGAATGACGAAGATGTTCATAACAATAAACCACGGCTGTATAAGAATACACATGCGCTTTTTCACTTAGTATTGATACATCAACAGCCAAAAAAATACAAGATCTGAAGTTAACACATCTACGACAACGCAATTTCATTTGACTACTTAAATTACAAATGTAGAGACAACGCTCAATACACTAATAAAGTTCCACATCACTTTGATCTATACAATCTAATAACTAGAAAAATTATTTCCACGGTATGTGTAGGTTAATGTCTCCAGAAGGTAATGGAATATTGTGGGCAAAAAAATTATTATGACCCAAAAAAATGAACGCTAGAATGAGGAAGAGGTGCTAAAATACTATACCTTCTATTACTTTGTGGGAAGCCGATCTAGATAGTCAATTCCTTAGTGTTTGTGACTAGTATGTCAGTTTTTAGCCATATCTACTTACCACTATATTATAATTACCATACAATTGCGGACAGTTTGCTAAATAAACCATACGGTACCACTAACAGTGGACAACCATGAAAGAGCCTTGGAATATTTGTTTCGATGTTGAGACAACGTGAATGCAGGTATTAAAGAATAAGGATATTTAAAATAGTACTGAAAGTCAAATGTAAATGATGATTTTATGAATTACGAGTTTTTAAAGTTTGTTTTTAATACTCACAAGAGAATTATCTTGCTGCTGGTATTTATTCTCTATGAAAAACGTCAACTTAGCCCATGTTCCTTAATGAGTCATAAATCCTGTTTAAGAATGTTACAAATTAACAAAATGCTTGTGCTTGAGTTCCATTCTCTGAGAGCAAACTTTAAATCTTCCTGACGCTTTTGCCGATGATGTTGTTCGGAAAAACAATGAAAACTTAGCGACCAAAACATCCAGCTCAGAGAACAGAACCCAACCTCTATCATCCACCTGAGCTAAAGACTTTTTTCACATTCTCACAACGAAAAGCTTTTGTAGTTCCTTCTAAAGTTATAAGAAACCTAAATAAAGTGATAGTCCTGATTACGATAGATATCCAGGAGTGCCAACTGGAATTTAGCAATAAACTAGCCGTGGCTATCTACATTCTAACAGGGCTGTCAATGTAGTTTAGTCGAATCAATTCGTGGGGCATCAGTACTAGAATAAACCCCCTCAGTGACAAAGGTTGAAGGACCAGCATGGACTTGTAAACTATTCAAAACCACAGTTACAAATATGACCCAGGTATGAGTAGCAGGGTGATCGTGTAGGTAACTTCCTAAAAATTTTGGATCGGAACTATTGTTCACCGAAGATAACTCAAATTTAAAAAATGAAATTTCGGATATTACTAAAGGAACAAATGTAAAACGTCATTCAAAATAAAAGCGTATTACTACAAAAGATTACACAACTAACTAACGTTTGTATCGTAAACTTTATAACGCCCGCGTATCTGCGTCCAATATATTTTTATCAAGGTTAATGTGTCAGCCAATTTTCTATGAACTTATGTGGTGCAGCTGTAAAGGCATTTTAAGTTTCGGAAGGAGGGAATTAGCAGCAATTTTCTTTCGAATAAATGTGTTATTGCAAATAATAAGTTTAATTTTGGTTCATTTTCACTCGTTGAACGCAGTTAGACACTTGTAACAAATGATTGCTTCTGTTCACTTATATCTTGTTTGTGAGAGGTGTTAAATTTGCTTGTAAACAATCGATGTTTTTAGTAAACCCCAAAAAATTTGCATCTGACACTGAAACGTAGTTAGATATAAAGCCTCTTAAAACTTACTCAGCACATACAACTGATACCAACTACTAAAAAATAAGATGTAATTGAATAAAGACTATACTTTTAAGCATATCTTTTCAGAGGTTTTTCGTGATGTTTTTTACAGAGATGAGCCTAATGACAAGAAACCCTGGCAAGTTCGGAATCACTGAAACGAAGACGACGACAATAAACATTAAATGGGATAAAGTATCTGTAAGAAGCAAAAGTTATACAAAAGTGAAACCTGAAAGTTGATGACCTATTGCCAGAGAAACTCATTATTTGGTATACGTCAAAATACATAGAATCGATGCTTGAGAAAACGTCTTCGGTTAGGAGTGTTCGTTGAAATCAACAAGATAAGAACAAGGTTTGATCGAAAAATGAGATGTAGTTGATCTTCTGATTGTTCAGCCAAAATTTACAGAAAGCACTAGTTGTTTAAACCTGAAATAAAGGTCAAATGACTTAAGAACTGGTTGTTATAAAAATTTATCTATTCCCTCAACTCATCAGTCAAGAGCAATGTAAAAACTATATATCAATACATCATTCACTAATGAAGAGGCAGCAATACAATGGACTTAAACCGTCGCTCCTGCTTACTCTGTTTAAAATTATTCCAGAAGACTGGTATATTTATCGAAGGACATTTCATGATAAACGAGGTCGTAGCTCTTCGTTAGTGAGAGTGCCAGAAAGCAGACATTGTGTCATGTAACATTTGCAGGTCTATTTAAAGACAATCATAGCCTAAACAATTAAGTCGTCAGAGATTCTGTGAAGTTAGACGTAAACAGCCAACAAATCAACAGTATTGATATGTGGATCAGTAAAACTACTAAATCTGTGAACACTATGAAACACTAAACAGGTAAAACCCGAAACTGTATGTCAAAATAAATTTGAACCACTCCTTTTAAACAAAAATATACGTGGATGAAGAGATAACGGGAGGTAAATTTGATTGTAGTGTGAAGCCTACGTCGAATTTGATGAAGAAAACATATCTGGAGAATCTTCAAAAACATAATGATAATGCCGCAATGATACTGCATAAAAATGGCGTCAGAGTTGTGGAATTTGTTCAAATGAAACTGACGTTAATGATATAAAGTTGTGTAAGGCTACAGGAGGCTAATTCCAAACTCAGTACTCTCAAAATGGTCGCGCAAGATTGAAACCAGCGTACAGCTTTTAACATGGATTTTCTGACACAATCTCTTTTCACAGAAAACAAGGTCAGCAAAAATATGCTAACAACGAAATACACTTGAAATATTTAAACTCCGTTCTTCGATTTGAGGAATCTTCATTATAAAAAATTATGAGACGATTTAGTGGTGACCGAATCGAGATTTACTATGACCACCACTAAATACTAATTACGAACCCGTCACCAAGACGATAAATAAATCCACGGTAAAGAATTTATTGGCTGGTGATTTCGTAGTGTCGAAAGAACACCGAAATTAATGTAAGAAACTGTGAGAATTAAAGAGCAGCTAGAGCAAATAATGGCAGCGACACAAATAGAAAGTTGCGCGTAAAGAGTGTTATAAGCAAAAAGTACAGCTAAACGATCACCGGTACAATTGGTTAAATTAATGAATGTTTCTATAAAACCAATCGCGTACTCTTCACAAAAGTGTTCCACTACAACGTCATGATGTAAGCTGAGTTGATTTAGAACTCTCTACCCTATTGCACTTTTCACGAAAAAAATGCCTTACTCTCATAGTAAGTTGCACCGATGTTTTCAAACGACGAACAAAAAACACTGTAAGAATGGGAATTTTGTTCAATCAGAACCATCGGAGCACCCTTCGAGACCAAGGTCTAGCTTATCAGAAAAAGTTTATCATGTACTCTCCACCCCCTAATGATAGCAGCAATCGCGAGCGAGATGAACTCCATGGGATAATGTGTTCAATCATAGAGAAAAGACCTGTTCGTCCTAAAGACAGATCGCCCACAGTGAAGCCACGGATCAACGAACTTTCCCAAGTGATACAAACCTGTCGATAGTGAAAGTGATTAGCTTAGTCACCTAACAAATCAAGTGTGGTAAATCAGCCGAGCGAGATCACATGCCAGCAGTTGCGTTAAAAGGAGGTATAGAAGTAACTGAGAAGAGTCTCCAAGCTCTCTTCATCCACATTTGGGAGGAAAACAAAGTACCAATATATGGTAAAAAATTACAACTCAGCAAAATACTAAAGAAAGATCTTGGTAAGTGTGAGAGGTAAGAGGCGTTACTCTACTGCCAGTCGCGAAACTAACCATCTACGGAGCACCGTCATGCACAATGTGCACTAGTCTATAAATATTCCATGGCCAGGGATGCGACTAAATTCTGCTCTGATCTGTTCTTGAAGCACAATCGATATACTAGTGAATTACTGACCGGATAGCAAGAAAACATCGCTTCTATTACAGTAATAAAGTTATTTTGAAAACCACGAGTAATCGACCTATATATGTCGTACTAATAACAATTATAGCAAATTTATCAATAACCGTGTAAATGGATTTCTACGGTGGCCGTTCCAATGGGTTCCAATAAGTTCACTCCTGAACTCGTTTCTCCCAGTCCAAGGTTCAGATAAATCAAAAATTCTAGGAGAAAGCGGTCTTTATTAATAAAAACATGGAAATACAAAGCAGTACCTGGAATTATTACACCTTCCAGGTTACAATTACTCCGAAGAGTATCCGAAACAACGATAAATAAGTGACGTTAAGTCCAACAGCTACTGTATCAATCCAAATATGGCTGTAGCCATATTAAAGATCAAATTTAAACAACATATATACAGATCAGAAGCAAACACAAAAACTTCAATATAAGTACAAAATATAGAAATAATAACAATATACAATGATAAAATCTCAAATTGGAATCAAATAAAATACCAAAATGTCAACACAAAAAGTCCGTCATGTCATAACAAAAATATGTAAACATGGAGGGATTTTCCAAAAAACAAAACATTCAAAAAGGATTCTACAGCGGCCCGCAAAATCCCTCCATGCAAAAAGAGCAAGCGTTAATGACACTTCTATTTAGGGTTCCCACTCATCCCCTAATCCACACCGGAAGAACGTGTAGGACTTACAGCAGTACGCCTACCCGCCCTCCAACATGGATATGACCTATCGTGCTAACTAGGTACCTATACCTTCCCATTAGGCCCTTGATTCCCCTATCTATCGTAGCATGACCTAACGGTAGTATAAACCTTACCCAATTAACCCACACGAACATGTACAACACGTCGTAAAGCTGGTCATATCCTATCCGGGAACTACATTCCATATCATGGGGATGAGTCGTCAATCCACCACCACTTGCTCCGATCAGCAGATACAATGAAGTCCGTGATGCTGACTTATCAACAGAAGTTCTTGACCCATAGATAATATGCAAGGGTGGGATCTCCAATTTTGACATTTCATCGTCTCCTTAAGACCTTAAGTAGCATAACATGGGATCAATATTTATCTCTCCATCTCCTGATACAGAGGAGGTTTGATCAGCATTCGTCATCGTCGGTAACTCATTTGTCACATCAGTGACATCCAGATTATTATCAACGTCATCATGATTCCGTTCTGTCAGACAAGTCGCGTCGATTCGGTCTGCACTAGCATCCGTAGAGTGGAACTCTTCCATTTTTGTATAACTCATATCACTACACGAAAGAACAGAATCAGTGTCACAATCCAAAGCCGATAAACTCACTTGTTGTTCTTCATGTTCCGTTTCAGAGACACAAGACGTATGCACATCAATAGAATCGTTATCATGCAACACTGTAAACTGACTGTTACCATCAGACGCTTCCTTCTCATCATCACTTGACTGACAGTGAACCGAAGTAGGAACACTTACAGCTACACAACCTTGTGTATCCTCAATCAACTTAACATTCGTGGGAAGGTCCGATGACGTCGAAACACTAGAAGGCTCGTTCGATGAAGTTGATCGACTAATCGCTATAAGTGGACTGCTCACACTTTCTGTCTCCTTATTATCGCTGTCACTACTAAGATTCTGATGACTACTATTTCCATTGCTAGTCATAGCATCCGAAAGAGAATGATGTTTAGGCTTCTTAATAATAGTAGCATCATGTTGTTTCCTAGGCTTCTTAGCCTTTACAGTACCGCCATCATTTATCCTAGAATCTACTCTAGGTCCCGTCATATAATTTACCCTAAGTGAAGGGTTCCGAACATAGGCTTTATTCCGTCCAGACAATCCTGCCTGGGCCTTCTTTATATTTACTGAATTCATTAACCTCTGTTTACTCGAATCCAAATAACTGTTCCAGGCTTTTCGAGCAGCTAAGAGGCTTTTATCATCACACACTTCGGATCCATCTTGATGCCTACACTTTTCACCTTTTTCTTTCTTTTCCATACTTAGAAAAGCCATCTTATCTGTTACACCAACCGGCTTCTTACTGGGATACGCATCAAGAGGTTTTACATCGTCACGGTCACATACTCGTCCTTCATCAGCGTATGCTTTCGTGATATAATTGACAACTCTCTTATATTCCGGGCGTGCGTTAGGTAAAAACGAAGAATCCTCATGTCTCGCACGCAGACCACTAGTAGCTTCCGTATTATGTCCTGTTTTAGCCCGATAAGCTAATCTTCCGAACCTACTACTAGCTATCTTAGCACGAGACATAATAAATTCCGTCAACTCATTGAAATTAGGCTCTCTCTCCTCTTCGTCCCACTTGATTCCCAGCTCTGCCCACTGGGCTTGCATTCGACGAGGTAAGAGACTGACTATTCGTTCTAAAGTAACCAAGGAATGAAGTTCCGTCGTACAATTTAGCTGTTCTAAGGTTAAAGCAGCATTCTGCATTTTAATAGCCAAATTCGTCAACTCTTCAGGATCATTAAAATCTGCGTTCCCGGTTCTAAATAAGTCCTCTAAGGTTTCCCGGGCTATTACATGCGACTGTCCAAAGAGCTGTTTTAAGATGGCCTTAGCTCTCTTATATCCTGATTGTGGATCCATAATAATACAGCCTTCAATCGCATTTTTTGCTTTTCCCTTACAATAATGAATTAAATACAATAAACGCACTTGATCATCCTTTATTCGAGGTTCTATAAACGTCTCTATTTGACGCATAAATCTAAAGTAGTCGCGAGACTTTCCATCAAAAAATGAAAGTTCGACCTTAGGTAGTTCTAAACCTACTATCGGTGTCTTAAGTATCTGATCCGTCTCTGGTACCTTAGAACTCTCACTTAAGCCTAGTTCCTTAACGCCTGCCAAAGGTGACTTACAATAATAAGTATCAGACATAACATCGTTATTAACAGAGTGGTTACCCATTAAAAAAGTATCAATAACGACTTGCCTAGCATTTCGGGATACGTCAAGATCTTCCATCCTCCTCGTGTTTGTTTTCTTGTGGTGGATCATTTTTAAGTGAAGTTCAACGGAAGATAAATAACAAATACAAAACATAGAAATTCCACAGGTATAAATTGTCCAAAATCAAAAAATCGTTTTCCAAAATACAGTTCGAATACGAAAATACGATAAGTATCCAAGATTCTTCTTCCAAGAAAGTTAGGGTTATAAACGATTAAATTTCCAAATGTTTCTTTATTCTTCTTAATAATCCAACTGTAATTGGTCTTCTAATCAAAAGTGATGGATAATTCCAGACTGTCAATGGATTTCTACGGTGGCCGTTCCAATGGGTTCCAATAAGTTCACTCCTGAACTCGTTTCTCCCAGTCCAAGGTTCAGATAAATCAAAAATTCTAGGAGAAAGCGGTCTTTATTAATAAAAACATGGAAATACAAAGCAGTACCTGGAATTATTACACCTTCCAGGTTACAATTACTCCGAAGAGTATCCGAAACAACGATAAATAAGTGACGTTAAGTCCAACAGCTACTGTATCAATCCAAATATGGCTGTAGCCATATTAAAGATCAAATTTAAACAACATATATACAGATCAGAAGCAAACACAAAAACTTCAATATAAGTACAAAATATAGAAATAATAACAATATACAATGATAAAATCTCAAATTGGAATCAAATAAAATACCAAAATGTCAACACAAAAAGTCCGTCATGTCATAACAAAAATATGTAAACATGGAGGGATTTTCCAAAAAACAAAACATTCAAAATGGATTCTACAACCATTCAATTTTCGGATTTGCATACCCAGCTTTCCAAAATATTTTGCTAAAGAAATGGAATTACAAATGACTGAGGTCGAATGTCTGATCAAACAAATTAAAAGTCTGAGTGAAACATTCAAATCTAACACCCAGTAAAATAATGGTAGCGATAAAGTTTGACGGTCAGTTAACCAATATGAAATACTCTTATAACAACCCGGACAGGTTGTATTTACCAATAAAGTGATTTATCAGTCACTGAGAGTATCACTAAAAAATGTCTTGCGACTTTAAGAAATTTTAAGAAACATTTGGCTAGCCAAGCACAATAAACTGAAATTACATATCGTCAGATATGATTACCAACTACGTTTTGACATTAGAAGACCCACAGGTTGAAGAATGTGACTTGTATGTAGTAACCTCTTTAGATATATACATTTGTGAGCGCTAAAAACACACGGTTTTTTTGTTGGAAGGTTGTTTCCTTATGTGAACCTGGCACCTGACTAGTTTACAAAGAACGTGAACACTATGTTGATCATTCAATCAGTTTCTTTAGTGTAAGATACTGAAATCGATATTCGAGGATAATCATGTGTGAATTGATAAAGCCTGGGCTTTGGTTCATTTCTAAATGCTATATAACAGGTACGTTTCTAGAACATAGACGAACCTTGACTGTGGTGACCTTTAGATCTTTGTGATCCTCTTTATTTCTAGCTAATCACACATTCAAAAGGTTTAAAGATGTTCGAAACCCTATAGTATACTGGAAATTGAAAGTGTAGCAAATAGTCAGTCAGAACATTGTTGAAACTAATTACTTCGTATTTCTTGTTCCTCAAATTATGTATAGCCATTACTCCCAATATTTCGAACGATCCGCATTTTATTGTAAGAGAAACCGGATCAATAGACTTACGGTATCATTTTCGCAGACGATTATAACTACTATCTTATTTCAAAAAGTGGATTATGCAAATCTCATTTCATCCTTCATTTAAACTTGTTATCCCTCAATGAAACATAGGCCGCGGACCAGCATTCTCCAACCTACTCTGTCTACGGCCTTCTTTCATAGTTCCATCCAATTATTGTCCATTCTTCCAACGTCTATCACCCTTTCTCGGTGTGTTCTTTAGTCTTCTATTTCTCCTTCGGTCTTGTGGACTCTAGGTGAAGACTTGTCTTGTGACGCAGTCAAGTGCTTTCTTCAATGTGTGTCCTATGCAAATTTTCCTAATTCCTTACTCAGCTGTAATCCGCTTCGTTCTTTACCACAGCAGTGTCTGGCCAACTGATTCAAAGTATTTTGCGTAGACAACTGGTAATATACACATGTATCTCCTGGATGATAGTTTTCGTAGTTCTCGAAGTTCCCTCTACAAACAGCAGAGCCGTCTTGACATTTGTTTCAAAAATTGTGACTTCGATGTTGGTTGATAAATGTTTTAAGTTGCAGATGTTATTCAACTTTAGAAATGCTGACTTTGCTCAACAGATCTGCACTTACGCTGTCCTTGTTCTGCCAACCTATGCTTTCACATCTGTATCAGATCCATCTTGTTCATCAGTGGTGCTGCCTAGATATGTGAAGATTCTCTACCTATTTTGATTTAATTGATGCATGTTGTGTGGTATCGGAGAATCTTGCTTTTACCCTTGTGTATGTTGAAACTCACTGCTGCAGAGGCTACTGCTACACTGGTTGTCTTCTCCTACATTTGTTGTTGTTTGTGAAGTCTAGATCGTTCAGCTGCATCCTATCTGTTCACTGAAAAAAATTTATTCGTTCGGAGATTACTTCATAACATGTATACATAGATAATGAACTGATACAAAATTGCTTTATTTCACTATCATCTGTATATGATAAAAGTTTATTTAAACAATAAAGTACTTGAGTTGATGTTCCATGAACTAATCCTAACTAGACTATTACTTAAAACTTGGGAACACTAGAAAACCCCTTTTATCCTGATATTTTTGTGTAGAATTGGCAAGTATTCAATTATTATTTACTAAACTACTTACAAATATGAATAAGCAATATGCATTATTCACTCAACAATATGTTTAATATATATCCAACTGAAATTTAAATTGATTGCTTTTAATAAGTTTCTGAAAAACATGGTCGGTAGACCTAATTAAAGAGATTTCATCCAGATTTAAATAAACAGTTTCATAATAATTGAACATCGAATATACACAATTATAATAACAACAACAACAATAATGATAATAATAATGAATATCTACTCATATAAACAAATATTATCATGGTATTTTCTTCCTTAGCAAATCCACCTTTCTTATCTTTGACTTCCGGTTTGTTGATAAAATAAATTTTCACTACCAGCTTTCACACAATCACTCTTTATCATTTCTGTGTATTGGACATTCTGTTGTCAATTTTGTTTACCTCATAAGATGTGTCCAATATTCAATTTTTTAAGTTATTTTGTTTACATATGGAAATATCACAACAGAAAAGAAAGTAAACAACACTCCTGTGAGGTGAATGTTGACATGAGAAAGTAAATTAAAATAATCATAGACAACGTAGGAGGAAAATCCTAACGAGTTAGATTTCTCATGTGTTAGTAAGTTATGTTATGATTTTCTTTTCTTTACTAACCTACTGATCATGTTGTTATCTGTACACCAATTGACCAATTGAAAATAATCGTCAACAACCAATATACCTATATAAATATATATAGATAGATAGGTATCATAATTTACCCATATCCCTTCGTAATTATTCATTAATCTTGTAGTTGAAAATGTGAGTTTATGATTGATTGCCATTTGTGTGTTTAATCGTTTTTTTAAAGATTTGTTTGAAAAGCAACTCTTCTCGTTATTAAAACTGCGAGTAGAATTTTGAAATCAAAGTTATCTTCGATGAAATACTCAACATAATAGTTATATTACATAAAATGACTGACTTTCATCAAAATGAATTTCTAGAAAATTTTGAAAAGATTGATAAAGTAAGCTATGTTGTGATTGTAGTCACTTACTTCATAGATGACAATGGTTGGAGATGATGTCATCGATATATCACAGATCGAATTATTGAATACTGACCTTTTGGTTAAAAGGTTTTCATACCTCTAGTTCCATTTGAAAGATTGTGGTGAAGTTTCGTTCTGTGAACTGAAGCTTTCATGGTTGTTCTTCTTCCGAACAACGCCATCAGCACAAACGTCAGATAGAAGAAGTGAAGTATTTGAATTTCTCCACGTAGGACCCGTTGATTGTTCTGTCAACATTGATTGTGATTGGTTGTTAACAGAACATTTATTCAATAATGTTTAGTGTTCATTCATTGTATTATATCTGAAATTATTGAAACAAATACAAACTCGATAACATATTATCGATGATTATAATTTAATGAATCATAGTTAATTTGACTTGTTGGCCTTCAACATTTTGCTTCGCTTTGCTAGTGCTCTTTTCATTCTTGTCTGTCTTCCTAAATGAATGCACGAAATAAATTCGTCCACAAAACAGTATTTAGCTTCTAATCAATGCTGTCGCACAAATTAGGTTCGCCTAAGTATGACATACGGAGATTGAAGGGGATATCTACTTCATAGCATTCTCACAAGCTACTAAAGTATTGAACCCTACCTCAAGTTCAACGCATCCCACGAAATAGTGATCCAAACTCCTCATCTAACGCTGCCCACTAACTAAGTACATTTGGTTTTTGATATTTACTAAATACAAAAATAATTTTCCTCGTTAGTAAGCAGCTTAATTGCTCAAACCAAAGTAGGTGGACAGAAGTTTGAATAGACTATTTATTGATTGAAGACTGAATGTTAAAGTCCGTGATTGGAAGGTCCACCTGATCTACAATATTCTACGAAACCTGTTTTAAATAAATTTCATAGTTTATAAATAAATGCTCTTTCAGTCCTAAGTAAACTACACCAGCTTCATTTGAAGTATCTAACACAAGGAGTTAATGTGTCTACTTTTAGCTACTCTCTCAAAGTAGACTTTTCTATTTGTTATCAAAGACTTTTATAGAAACAATTTCCATCCTTCAACCTTAAATAACCCTCATGTTACATGTTACACAAATATGGGATTTATATTCAAATAATCTCAGTGATTAATAGATCATTTCTCTTCGAAAAAGTTCGGACAAGTTCACAAAAAAAAACAAAATCTTTAAAATGATTGAAAATTCTAATCATTAAGATTATTTAAATATCATTCCAACACTTGACCTCGTCTTTCTTTCTTAAATAAATTAATCAATCAAATTTCTGTCAAAATTGTTTGTTTAAATTTTATTGAATATTTTTTCCGAAAAAATTGAAAATTGAACAAACTTATTTCCAAATAATCACACACACAATCTTATTCATTAATTTCCCATTTTTTTTTATAGAACTGTCCAGAACTCCATGCCAATAATGTACACCATTATTAATTATCAAAAAATTTATTTACTCATTTTTATTTTACTACTTATTTTCAATACAATCCAATGTTATCTAACACGAAATCAAAATGAAATGTTACTGGATTGGAATGTAATTGATAATCCAAATGAAGCATACATGATGAAGTTGCCAGCCTATTTTGCACAAACTCCATTCGAATCATCGTCATCATCATCATCATCAGCATCAACAGCACCATCGGCTTTATCATCGTTTTGGAGTTATTATTTTGCTGATGGTGAACCGAAAAGAAATGGACATTATTCACAACGTTTAGGAAAATAACACATGGTCGATATGGTTTAAACAATTGAACATTTAGTTAACATCATCATCATCGTTGTTGTTGTTGTTGTTGTTGATGTTGTCGTCGTGGTTGTCATGACAATCGCTATTTGTTATAGTTTAATTTTTAAATATTATATATATATATATGTCTTGTGAACAATTAATGTTAATTAGGCAATTGAATAAATAAATAACAACCTGATTTTGTTCATTGTTTTATTGTAATGTGGTGCGCGCTACTTATAAGTAGTATATGACGTGAGTGTAAATGTAATGTCTGGCAGCAGAAGATGGGGGAAGATCAAGAAAGGAAGAAGAGTGGGAACACAATGGAATTTGTATGAAACGCATGAATAGTGAAATGTCAGACAATGGATTGATGATGGATTGGAGATTTGCAAATTAACCGTTTAAGATATGGTTTTCCTATTTTACTGAGTAACTCTGTAATTTCAGATAAATACAATTCGGTTGACCTCACTTGTGTTCTCCTTCACTACAGTAATTCAATGAAAAAACACTGGTTTAACTAGTGGGCTTCGAATTAGCCTTTGCTTATGTATGAAGTTAGTGACAATTATGTAAGATGAAGCTTGGAACTCAAAATGTACTGACTGAAGTTTAATCGATTTCACGATTAAAGTACAATCATGGTATTTTCAAGAATGTGAATTTTCGATAGGGTTCTGTTGGGTATGTTAGATCCCCAGAACTCACTTGATAAATATCTTTATTTTGGAGTTATTTAATGAACCGATCAGTTGACCTTGAGATCACACTTTCTACCAGGAAAATCCTTGGCTGTGATTGGTTACTGTGTCATTTTAGTGTGCTATTTTTGTGACTCTCTCAAGTACCTCGCTATGGAGTTTAAATAAACGCAATTTGAGTGCTTGGATTCATTGTGTGCCGGCTGGGTGTTTGTAGAATACATTTTCTGCGCTATATGAAGACTTCTTGCTCGTACAATTGGGACAATCGGATCACAGTAGCCTACCTGGACGCTGGTTCATTGTTTTGTTCTCGTTATTCGACAAAGGTGAACCTGTAAAAGTTTTCAGCATTCCTACAGACGAGTAAAACAGGTTCTAAAAATTTTTATAGATAAGTTGACAAATGACGAGAATTACTTACTGAGTCCAAGAACTACCAGATTGAACTTTTTTACTTTTGCAGCAAGTTGGATGACCCTCCCGATCTCCAACATTGAACTAACATCCCGAGTACCTAAATTAATGGTTTCTCTGGTTGTCAGAAGGGGCATCGACCTCGTGGCTTCAGAAAGAACTCGGGTTTCATCATGATAAGTCATAACTCTTCTGAATGAAAATCTACCAACGGCTAAGGAAGAGTTTAAATGGTTCGAATTGTTTTTTCTGGTTAGCATTTTCTTCGTTAGTTAGATTTCTACGGGATGGGGTCACTAACCCCGTGCCTAACTCTTCTCCTTTATCCGAGATTGAGACTGGCAGTAGCCTCAGAGGAACTTCAGGTGGAATTAGGTGATGTGAATACTTCAATGTAAAGAAACAGTTCAGGGGTTGATATTTTGTTCCAGCTACTTATTTCGATCAACAATCAATATATTCACTACAGAGATATAAAAATTGTTATTTTTCATTGAAATCGTAAAATCAATCTTTGTTAGACAATGTGCCCACTAGTGACTAGCTTTATGAGAAAATTCTCAGTATGCCACTGAGAAGCTATGACCAATGGAGTTCAACCCTGTAGAGTGTTTCTAGTTACTCGCTGAAGACAATGGGTGAGGTTGCCCAAAATTTAGATTGATTAAATTGGAACGTTAACACCGTTGAATACCGGCTCATTAGTCTGGAGGTTAAACATCTGCGCTCGATACCAGGGGTCATGAACTTGATTCCCGCGTGCACGTGTTGTGGATACACACAGTTGACGAGTCCTATACTAGGACTCGATGGCGGTTCATTGCTTCCAATTTTCTATCAGTGGTGTAATAATGATCGATTCCTGGATTTCAATCAATAATAGCCATTATAGAAATGAAAAAGTACTAATCATTATGGTTACCTATCAATGGTCAAGTAATATAAATATTTCAATCCTTCTGAAAAATAACCATGAGTCAAATATTTCAGTGGAACAAGGTGATCTGAATTAGTATCCTACATGGAGAAATGTCTATTTCGATTGATTTCAGATATGCCGTATCCATGAATATCAATTTAACAAATCGATATATTTTAAACATAGATATTACCATTTATTTGTCAGCCAGTCAGTCAGTTACAAAGCAGAACTTCGTACGTAGGTACATCAGTGCAAGCTGCCATGCCACATTAGCACACAGAGACGTAATTGTCAATTGAAATCCCATAGTAGTAGAAGTAGTATTAACATTAGTCGGAGAGATTAGGGTTCGAAGATATTATTCCAGAAGTAGAATCTAGTGAAATAGATTTAAAAACAACACGATAAAGGTAATGAGGAATTTAGAAGGTTAGGACATGAGAGAACACAATGAATGAATGGACCTGTGCCACTGCAGACGATTTTGAGTCAATGAATTTATGGGATTGGAATATTTATCCAAGAATTTTTTTCATTATCAGTAAATAACCAGAAAACTATCAGCCAACAAATTGTCATTGAGCATTTCTAAAAAATACATAAATGTTCGTGATATCAAGAATTCTGAAAATATTATACAGTGAACAGGTGGAATGTAAGTACTGCCTGCAGATTACTTCTATTTCAGCAGTCGATATTATGAGATGAACAAAATCACTGACTAGTACTCATTTGATTGTTTCGAAATCACGAAGATTTGGTAAAGTTTTGTATCACTTGGAATTCGTCAGCACAATTTATCTGTAATCCAGTACTTCTAGGCAGATATAATAACTAGTCGATCAATTTCACATTTATCGTTAAGTAGAGATGTAAGTTTAGTAAGTGCAACTCAATGAAAAGATAAAAAATATCATGAATAATGTGTTTTGTATAGACGAAATGAGTTTAAAACAATCTAATCAATTGTTTACTTACTTACTTACTTACTTAAGCCTGTTACTACCCCAGTGGAACATTAGTCACCGACTAGTTATTCTCCAACCTACTCTGTCCTCAAATTTCCTTTATAATTCTATCCAACTGTTGTTCATTCTTCTCCTATCTGTCTCCATTTCTCAGTGTTAGCTGTTGTTCTTTAGCTTTCCTCTTTTCCTTTGACCTTGAGGACGCAGTTGGATGCTTGCCTCAATGTTTGTCCTATCTGCAATATATATATATATATATATATATATATATATATATATGTACAGAGTGTTTACTATGATACGCAATGGAAAAAATGTTTCCAAAATGAATAGTACATTACATCGTACTCTGATTCTTCTCATCATACAAAAAAAACCAACTCATTCGAAAGAAAATTTTTTCTCTCAAGATTACATCACAAAAACCCCTTTCTGAAGAAAAAAATGAAGTGAAATTTCTTTAGCTACTTATTCAAGAATTTATGCATTCCGTGTGAATTATTTGAAAATAATTTATTATATAGACTCTTTATAATTTCTCTGTCAAAATTTATATTTCAGAAGAAAAAAGAAATTGATAATGTCACTTAAAAACCTTAGATTCCTTCCTATTTCATTTCTATACCCAACATAAAACTAAGCATATTTAAGTAGAGTGTAATTTTTGAAAAAAAACGGTTTACTGTAGTTGTTCAGTTAATTGATAAGAATATAAAAAAAAACTAATTAGTAGATGGTTTTAATAAAAGAAAAAATTGAATTTTCCACCATTTTTTTTCACATAGAATTGAAAATTGAACATTAGTTGGAAAATTTAAACAAACTGTGCTGTAACACACACACACACACACAAGACACTTAATAATAAACTAATGCAGATTTTCAAAATTACAGTTCGTTTTTTCTTTGAAGAAAGCTAAAAAAACAAACAAAAATGTTCACTTTTTGGTTAAATTTTAAATTCTTTTTATTTTTTTTAAAAAAAAACTTGTAATCTAACTAATCTAGGATTTATTGCTTTTCATTTTTATCAGGCAAAACAGACATGAATAATAAATGCATAATGTACTTACTGCATTTTTTTATTCAAAAAGAAAAGGATGGTTTTTATTAGAATGATTTATGTGGGCGTATAATCAGTAATAAATTTATTTTGAAATCATGAATTGATCAATGTTAGGTCAGTATTAGAAACTGGGAAACACTGGATAGGCATTTCGTCCTGGTTTGAGTCTCACCTGGAAGTGCGGATCCACAACTCACGCTACTCAAAAGAATCGGGTCCAGGACCATCAATCTTCAATATAAACGCCTAATCTCCGAACCATTCGGTTGGCATCCAACGTTACTAATGTCTAACTTCAATCCATTCATGGTATCCTATTATAAACAGTGAGCATTACTACACATCAAAATAAGGTTGATCAATTCATGCTTTATTACTTACTCACTTAATTAATTACTTACTTACTTACTTACTTACTTACTTACTTACTTACTTACTTACTTACTTACTTACTTACTTACTTACTTACTTACTTACTTACTTACTTACTTACTTACTTACTTACTTACTTACTTACTTACTTACTTACTTACTTACTTACTTACTTACTTACTTACTTACTTACTTACTTACTTACTTACTTACTTACTTACTTACTTACTTACTTACTTACTTACTTACTTACTTACTTACTTACTTACTTACTTACTTACTTACTTACTTACTTACTTACTTACTTACTTACTTACTTACTTACTTACTTACTTACTTACTTACTTACTTACTTACTTACTTACTTACTTACTTACTTACTTACTTACTTACTTACTTACTTACTTACTTACTTACTTACTTACTTACTTACTTACTTACGCCTGTTACCCACATTGGAGCATAGAGAGGCCACCAGTTTTCTCCAAACAACTCTGTCCTGGGCTTCCCTTTCCAGTTCTGTCCAATTCTTGTTTACTCCTCTCATATCTTTCTCTATTTCTCTACCTACCTGAGTAAGTTTCTCCAAGTTCTACTAAGAAGTCATGATCAGTGCGGTTCAATCCTATAGAGAAAATAAATCTATTTT